AAAGTATGATAGTACCAAGAAAGTATGATAGAACCAACAACAAGTAATATACTACAAACTCTGAATTTATATAGGCATAGATTCATAATTTCTATACTGTAGATTCATAAAATTTTTACTGTAGATTCATAATTTCTAAACTGTAGATTCATAATTTAAATACATTAAATTCATAGTGTCTATACAGTAGATTCATAATTTCTACACGTATGCAGATTCATAATATATGAACTGTAGATTCATAATTTCTGTATTGTTGATTCATCATTTCTAAATTGTATAGTTATCAAATTATGAACATATAGTTCTGTGATGTGTGAATACATAGGAATCGAACCACTAGACTAGGGTGCCTGTAGAGACTAGAGACCACTAGACTAGTGTGCCGGTAGGCCGGGTATATTCATGGTTTTATAGGGACCGGGTCCACCATAAACCGGGCGATATAGATATAGAACATGGTAAGAAAATATTAGCTTTATTACCCGGGTCACTAGACCCAAAATAGTACTGGGTATATAGGTACAAAATGCGAGATTCATAGATTTTTATACTGTAGATTCATAAATTCCATACTATAGATTTATAAAATCTTTGGTGAATAATTTTATATTTAAATATGAATGAAAATAGAACTATTAAATTAACTTTTGAATTGTATTATTTCTTTGTTAAAATTTTATGCACTATATTTGGACAAAAAAAATTATTTACATTTTATTTTTTGTTCTAGATCTTCTAAACATCTATTTTCATCTCGTAACAAAAACAATGAAGGTCCAAATTATAGATAAAAGATAAGGTGTAACACTTTAGTAAACAAGAGTTGGTGTGGCTTGGTGGGTTTAGCTTTATTTGTTATGTTAGAGGTCATGGGTTCTATCCTTAACCTATATTTTATACAATCATTGTCTTGGTTCTCATAGACAACACAGAACCAAACTCGTTATATCTTAGATGTTGCGCTTAAGTATATAAGTGTTGGTGTGGCTTGGTGGGTTTATCTTAGTTTGTGATGTTAGATTATGTTAGAAATCTTAAGTTCTATTCTTCTTACAGGCATTTTTAACCTATTTTATAAAATCGTTGTTTTGGTTTTCACAGACAACACAAAAACAACCCAGTTATATACAAGATGTTGCACTTTGATACATAAAAGTTTGTGTTGCTAAGTTGGTTAAACCTTAATTGCTATATTTGAGGTTAGAGGTTTGATTCTTGTTGTTAAAATCCTTGTTTATATTTTATACAACTGTTGTCTTTTATAGAATAATGATGATGCGCAAAGACAACGGTTGTTAAAAAAACGTTGTCTTTGTAGTGTTGTGTATTCAAATACGCTTAAAGACAACATACCAAAGACAACGGTTAAATAAAACCGTTGTCTTAAACAAATAAAGAACGCGCAATGACAACGGTTATATAAAACCGTTGTCGTTGTAGTGTTGTGTATTCAAGTGCTATTAAAGACAACACATAAATGACAACGGTTAAATAAAACCGTTGTCTTTTATAAAATAATAATGCACAAAGACAACGGTTTTAAAAAACCGTTGTCTTTGTAGTGTTGTGTATTCTAGTGCGCTTAAAGACAACACATCAACGACAACGGTTAAATAAAACCGTTGTCTTTTTATAAAAAAGAGCGCACAAAGACAACGGTTTTAAACAACCGTTGTCTTTCTAGTGTTGTGTATTCTAGTGCGCTTAAAGACAACACACCAACGACAACGGTTAAAAAAACCGTTGTCTTTTAAAAAAAAAAACGCACATAGACAACGGTTTTAAAAAACCGTTGTCGTTGTGGTGTTGTCTTATCACAAAATGCACAAAGACTACACACTTATAACAACGGTTAAGTAAAAACTGTTGTCTTTGACAAAAGTGTTGCATAAAAGACAACGGTTTTGGACCAAACTGTTGTCTTTGATACAAAAGACAACACTTTTCTTAAAAACTGTTGTCTTTCTAGTGTTGTCTATGTGCATTTTTCTTGTAGTGTCAGTGTTTAATTTTCCTTCAAGATTTGTGTTGTTTAATTGTTAATGATGTTAATTTTCCCATGTTCATAACTGAGCAACTCCAACTAAGTTAGTCGAGTTGTTGGTTTCGTAATCCCAAAGTTCTAAGTTTAATTTACGTGGCCTGGAGCTCCAATTTATCCATTTTCATGCCTGCGCCAATTCAAATAAGAGGTCATGGGTTCGATCTCCAGTAGGCCGGAGCGGTATTAACTCTTTATGCTTCAGTATGTTAATAAAGTAGTTATGATCAAATACTACATTATATTATAACAAAGTCAGTAGTACTCAAAAAAAAAAAAAACAACAACAAAAAAAAAAAACAAAAATCAACTTTAAGGAGCGTTCTATTGGCTATTAGCCTTCTTAATTAGCTTGAATTGATTAACTCTAATTTACTTCATTGTGGTCCTTTAGTGACTAAAAAAACTCGATTTACTCAATACATATACTCTCAAAATAGTAGATCGTTGCACGTGCAATATGTGTGTTCGTTGCCCCAGGTCATTTCAATTTATGACTGCATTCATTTCCATTTTTCATTTTATCCCAGTCAAGAAAATGTACAAGTAGTAAATGAATTTTTTGTTTCAATTTTAAAAATTTTCATTTATTCGTTTAATAACGCACTGATTGGACTTTAATTATCAGGAGGTGCGACGGTAGGAATAGTGACAGGGGCACTGAAGGGGCAAACCACAGAAACTGGGCTACTGAGAGGGGCTGCAGTTGGTTCTGTGGCAGGAGCCATCACAGCCGTCCAATTGTTGGAACTTATGATCAATGGGGAGTCCTTCTCCAAGGTATATGATAATGTTGTAGCTCTATAATCCTTACAGTTAATTAATAGAATCACCAATATAACATAACATGTGATAAAATTAAGATTCAAACATAAGAGTACAATGCAATATGAACACCTACAATTGTCCCAATGTCCCACATTATGAAATTAAGGTGGAAAGCTAAGGCTAGTTAGCTGGGGAAGGCTTTATGAGATACTATATATATTGAGGTATATATTTTCTTGAAAATTATAAATGGTAATGTTTTCCTATCTAGGTATATAGCTAACAAGGAATGGTGTAATTGTAATTTCACAGGTGGCTCTTGTATGTAGTCTTGTAGATGGAAAGGTATTCATGGAGTGGGTCAGCCCTGCCGTGCTCAAAGCTTACCAATGGCAGGTAAGATATTATAAGAATTGTTAAATTTTCTAACGGTACCAGTACCTTTTATATTAAATAAATAAATAAATATATGCTTGAGTGATTGTATAGAATATTCTAAAGATAAGTGTTGATAATATTTAATATAAAAAAAGACTAAAATATTGTTTTCACTTAGGCTCAAACCAATAACTTTCAATTTATTAGAGTCACTTTGTGCCACTAGATCACAAGATAATTTCTTATAATTTATTTATATAATCAATTTGAAATCCAGGTTGGTACTGTGGATACAAGTTTGAGGGAAATATCAGACATATTTGACACCAATCAAAGCTGCAAAGGATTGTCTAATGATACCATACAGAATCTGCCAAAGTACAGATTTCAACATTCTGCTAAAATGTTCAGAAACTTTGAAGACATTACCTGTGCAATTTGTTTGCAGGTAGGTTCTATCTTGATTAAAATGTTAAACTATTAGTATTTTACTTGATCAAAAGTTTTGATCGTTATTTATATATTTATTATTTATATTTATTTACCAAGTATACATTTCTTTGAGTTGTAGGATTTCGAAGGCAGAGAATATGTGAGGATGTTACCGAGTTGTAGGCATTCCTTCCACTTACAATGCATAGATGAATGGCTAGTCCGGCATGGAAATTGCCCGGTTTGCCGAACGGACGTTTCATGTACGGGCATGGCTATAACAACAATTTAATTAAGTGATATGTGAACCCTTAAGTTTGGGGTTAAAACTTATCACAATTTAACAAGATCAAAGATTAATGTTTGATCTAGTTATCTTTGTATACGTATATTTTCATAAACAAATCAAGTTTGTAATTCATGATCTTAATTCAATTTTCCATCATCTTTATAAAAATGAAGCATTTGATCGAATTTATATATAATATATATGAGATTTAAAATTAGATCCCTTAAGATCAACTATATGTTATAGTTTATTGTATCCATTGGTCTATTAACTCTTAACCGGTGAACTTGCAGATGATATTGTAAATATAGAATAAACAGGCAAATGTAAATATTTTCCCTCCCTAGAGTAGAGATAGGGAAATTCCAAAGGGGTCGGAGCCATTTTATTCAATCAATCCTTACAAATATATAATACAATAATTAAAGGAATGTAATTAAAAAGATGACCGTTACAAAAATATTGCCATAAATGGTCATAATAATCATATTAAAATCTTGATAACACTACATAATTAGATAAGTTTCATATTCCATAAATACATTACTCAATACTTAATATATCCCACATTTTTCACATTGACACAAAGTCGAGGATCATATTGCGGCCAAGGATCCTCCTCCTTCTAAAATGTTGAATTTCCAATTCCAAAGGCGCTTCACACTCCGTCCCGACAGAGCATTTAGCAAATCATAATAACTCAATAACTCAGCATACATAGTCAAATATCAGTGTGTACAAAAAAATTTGCTACTGTCGAGATTCGAACCTTGCTAGTTTCACTTTTCACTAAAACTCCAAAAGTTTAAAAAGAGAAAGAAAAATGCTGGTTCAAATTATTATGGTGTTAATACATTAAAAAGTGAAGGATGTTTAAATAAAATTGGAGTAGGAAAAACCTATAAATTGGTGGGTTCAAATTATTATGGTGTTAATACATTAAAAAGTGAAGGATGTTTAAATAAAATTGGAGTAGGAAAAACCTATAAATTGGTGGGAATACGAGGACCCTGAAATAAAATAAGGATAAATTTGCGGGAAGGGCCAAAACCGGAATAAAAAAGGGGAAGTACGGAGTCAAGAGGAAGGTCAGCTGGCCGGCTGTAAAACTCGCGTACCTCGTGAACCTAGCAGTCTCGTAGTAACCGTCGGAGAGCGGAGAAAACCAATGGCGGCGTGGTCCGGAGCAACGAGGAGCTTCTGTATGCCGGCTATCGACCTTGGCAGACTGCGCGGCCGGGCTCCGATAGCCTTCGGCGCAGGCTTTGCATCAATCGCCGGCGCGAGCTTTCGCCGATTGTCGCCTTCGCTATCAAAGCCATTCGCTTCCCTTGGCATTTCCACTGATGCTAGTGAGAATCTCCAATTTAGAAGAATTTCAATATAGATTTTGTTTTAGGGATAGAATTTCACCTTTATTTCCTTCTCCAAAACGCTGACAGTGTTACTCTGATAGACAATTGCTTTATAGTGGTTTGACCTTGTGTGCTATGGCGGTTGTATGCGATAATGTTGTGATTTTTGTGCATTCATTTCCTTGTATTCTTCACCTGAATCATTTTTGTTGGAATAACCAATTAGTCTGAGATTTTATCTTTCAAAACCGTTGGCATTATATCCAGTTCATGTATATGGACCTTGAATGAATTGTAATCATGGATTTAAATGGAAGAACTGTTAGAATATTGATTTAGTGTGAATGTTTGATATGCTCATATGCTGAGAAGATGGATGGTTTCTAGTTATCTGGGTTGATCTTGTATATGATGTGGATTTAGCTTCTCCAAACAGTGATTTTTTTCTGGTTTAATTAGCTTGTGCTTGTTTAATTCCAGTGTGATTGTTACTATACTGATATAGGTTTTATATGCATATGCAATGATACTAGGTGTGAAGGAGGTTGTTCAAACAGAAAAGGCTCCAGCAGCTCTGGGCCCATACTCTCAAGCCATCAAAGCAAATAATCTTCTTTTTGTATCTGGAGTTCTTGGGCTTGTTCCAGAGGCATGTCTTAGTATCATTGCCAATTATTGTGCTATTCATCAAACTTCTCGTACTTCTTCTCAAAATCTTTTATTCATGTGGCTGAACTTGTAATGATGTTTTTGTACTGAAATGCAGACTGGAAAGTTTGTGTCAGACAGTGTAGAGGATCAAACAGAGCAGGTAATATTGCCATGGTCTTTCAGTTGCTAATTACAGAAAGATCTCTCACAAAAAGTTTGAGCTTAAATGTATGCAGGTTCTGAAGAACATGGGGGAGATACTCAAAGCAGGTGGTGTTAACTACTCCAATGTTGTCAAGACTACCATCTTGTATGTGTGTTATGTCTTTCTTCTCACTCTATATCTCTCTGTTCTCATTTCTCAATGCATATGTTCTTGATTGTTGTTTTTAATATTTGAAATGAAAATGTTTCATCACTGCAGGTTGGCTGATCTGAAGGACTTCAAAGCAGTGAATGAGATCTATGCTAAATGTAAGTAGATGAATTAAACCAGTTTTACATAGTTTTGAACTTCCCATTATTCATGCAATCTTGATTGAAATAATTTGCAGATTTCCCATCACCATCACCTGCCAGGGCAACATACCAGGTTGCAGCATTGCCAATGGATGCCAAGATTGAGATTGAATGCATTGCTGCTTTATAATAAACCAATTTAGCTATCCTGGAGTTTCTGTTATGCCAGTAGTAGGAATTCATAGTTGGTAATAAGGCAACTTTTTACTCTTTTCCAGGACCTCTGCTTAATTGTTCTTATATACCCACATCCATTTTTATTACTATATTCATAATTCAGAGAGTTCAACCACCAAAAACCATCCATGTTTTTGCTAATCCTGGGAATAATGTACCCAAACATGCATGCATTGATCTCCGAATCACGTGCTTTTATTGATAATTATTAGTTTTTACATCAAAATTCACCCAGGAAAACTCTAGGTCATAGCTAGAGGGAGTGAACTTATCTTTATTGTTATCATTATCATTATTATTGTCCACTACGTGGTAGGTTAAAGCACGAGATTGATCCTTGCCACCCCTCCCGACATTTAGAAGTAGAAAGTTCTGACTTGGCATTTTTGGGGCTCAAGGTTGCAGACTTGAGGAAGATACTTAGCCTTCTCCAGAACCTGTCGTTCCAGCTGCTCCCATTGTTCCTGTTCCTGTTCTTGTCCCTGTCCTTGTTCCTGTTCTTGTCCCTGTTCCTGCTCCTGCTGTTCCTGTTGCACCCATCTCAATGCTTGCTTCACGGCTTCGCATCGGCACTCGCGGTCGAAGTTGTCTAATGCGTTGCAGCATTGCCTCAGGTGCTGTTGCTGTTGCTGCGGCATTCTCCAGCTGGAGGATTTCATCCTTATGAAGTGGTTGCTCATAAGGTCTTGGGACAGGTACCTGGCGCAGTGGCGGAGCTCTTGGCTCTGCTGCTGGACCTGCTGCTCGCATTGCCGCTGCTGGCTGCCATGTTGCTGCCGGCTCCGGGATTGCTCATCCGTGATGGTGGTGCGGAAGGCGTTGGCCGCCGTCATGGCCAAGAGGGCCACCAACACCGCCGCCATCGCTACAAGCTTTGCCATTTCTGGTAGGGGAAGAAGTGGGAGAATGGTATTATTGGAGTGAAGATAGTTGTTGGTGAGGAGGAATGAGGGAATGGGAGTGGGTTTTATAGTGGAGATGAGGAGACAGTGCAGTGCATGCATGGGTATAACGTGGAGAGCGGTGGCCAACTTGCGCCACCAGATGTCGGTGTTTCAGGGCGGAGCTTCCACGTACCAGTAGCCATGCAAAAAAACTTCCCCACCTTGATTTGTTTTCTCTTCTTATCTGTTTGATTATTCCCATTTCCCAATTTATTCAGTGTGTCGCAGATTTGCATTTCTAACGTTTATCGTTTTCGAGTTGCCACGTCCAGCCCTCCACATATAGTCGTGGCATTGTGTCGTTTGTTCGTGCTAATACAGATACAAATATTTGGAATTTATTGACTTTTCCAGTTTAAGTTGATCAATTATAAAGATCTTTTATCAGTGGAAATTATAAGACTCAGTAAATGTTATAAGATAAATTTATTTGAAGTGTACATTCATGTAACGGTTATGAATTGCAGACATTTTAATATATGGTTAAGGAGGCCGAGGCTATGGGAGCAAGGGAGACGCTTAGTTGGATAAAGACTAGGAGATGGGAGAGGGTAATCCTTGAAACTGATGCTCAATTAGTTACGAAGGCGGTGGCGAGGGGAGCCAATATCTCACCGTTTGGCTTAATTGTGGACAAGATTCGAGAGTTCTTATGTCAGTTGCCTATGGTAACCTTTCGCTATGTCCGTCGCCAACATGTTATGGTGTCTCATTATTTAGTCAAGAGAGCTCTAAATTGTGTAGGGGAGGATAGAATGGAGTATTTTGACTGTATTCCTCGTTTTGTATCGGTTACCTTATGTAACATTTCTGGTGTTTATTAATGCATGTGGTTTTCAAAAAAAAAAAAAAAAAGTGTTAAATGATTTTTGATACATTGAATCAGTGAAAAAAGTATTAGACATTTTTCGGTGCAGTCAAGCCAATTTCACTATTTCTTTTCCAAAAGTGATGGACTATGAAGAACTTGTAGGATAAACTATTGTCTTTTTCTCTTTGATTGACTGATCAAAGACTCCTAACCAACATAACTAATGAGAATACCAAGTGATATTATCCCTATTAGTATCATAAGGCATACCAAAATTTCCATCTTCTCATTGGTTTAAGGAAGAAATTTCATGAAGTTGAAGAAAGAAATGTGTTGATCAAAGTAAATTAAACCAAAGTTGTAGAAATCCAATACAATACAATACAGAAGCACAGACAGATTGTTGGTGTCTGCTTTGTTTGTGTGTATATGTCGTCCTACTTCACAACACTGATAGATATATCGCCAAATTTTTATTGGTTGTGCTTGTTGTACAACAACATGAAATATTCCCTCCATTGAAATGCAGCTTCACCAAAAGAATTGAAGATGATAAACTTGATCTCTCTCTCTGGTTTCATCTGTATTCCTGAAAGTTAACATGTCCTGTTGCTTGTGCATGCTCTGCAGCCTCCTGCATAATTTTAACATATGTTAGCCTAACCGTTGAATAGGTAACATTTTGACTCAATTGCACTTTTTCGATCTTATTTAAGGGGTTCAATAAAGTTTTTAAAAAAAATCGCACAACTTAAGGACTTATTTGACCAATTTTCCTTTGAACACATTGGTTTGGGTGACTAGAGAAACCATAGCCATTACCCAACACTGAGTAAACCCTACCTAGGGACCCTAGTCAACAAAAGACCACTAACAAGGCGTTTGGTTGGGAGGAGAGAATTAGGGGGAAAAGAATTGTAATTTGGTGGAAAAGAATAAGGTGAAAATAAAGTAGGAATTCCAATTACATTGTTTGGCAGGAAAGAAGTGAATTATTGGGAATGTGAAGGGAAGAAATGGCATAAAGACTAAAATGTCCTTGTGTAATAATAATAACTAAGGGCAAAAAGTCATTTTCATATCTTTTTCCTTTCCATGCTATGTTGAATTGGAATTCATAGGGGGAAGGCATGAATTCCAATTCATGGAGGGAATTGCAATTCCCCTCCAACCAAACACGGTAATTTGGGGGCTTAAAAAATTGTGTTGTAATTGCATTTCAATTACACCCAACCAAACAACCCGTAAAAGGTAAACCAGCTTAAGTTGCCCATAACTGATCGGCTCAAACCAAAGAGTTCAATAGGCCACTCCCGCTGGGAGTCAAACCCTTGTGTAACAAAGGACACAAAAACGATAGTTAATTAGCATGCCAACAAACCTTCTGGCCAACAACCCCTATTTGGCAAACCCCGCACCGCAGAGTGAAGTTGCCAGTATCTGTGTAGCTCCTCTTCCTGCATTGTGTCAATTTAAGCCACTTTGAGTTAGTCGGGAGTCAGATCAGATCAAATATGAAACTCAGAATATGAAGCATCATACTAAGACGTTAGAACAAAAGTTAGGTACCCATCTGTAAATTAACGGTGTATATATATATAAAGATGTTACCTTTGCTGCTCTTTAACCAGATTAAGAGCAAGCCCTTCAATCGGGCCAATGCCTCGGTTCTTCTGCACAGTGAAAATTGTCTGATCAAACTCCTCTGGAGCCCCTTCCGAAGGAGACATCTGTTGATAGCGTATCGCTATATTAGCAAGCACACCAAATGGATAGAGACATATGAAGTGTTTTAAGATAAATCTAGAAAAAGGTGGCATTCACACAGAGAGAGAGAGAGAGAGAGGTAAAACCATACAGCCAAAGCATCATAATGGAGCCCATCGTAAATCAGCATGACTCGTTCATGATAGTTATTTTCCTGTTCAACAGAATGTCAAAGTGGATTTAAAAGACTGCTAAGTTCGACTAAACTAGTTAGTAAGAACCACGGGATATAGTATATATACATCAAGCTGTAAGCGCTAACCTGCCCATACAGATCACAACGTGTAGTTTGTATATCATAAGCTGCAATTTCACGCCCATAAAACTCTGCGAGTATGGAAAGCTCTATGGCACCTATATATTATGTGAACAGTTTAGTCCAATTGATAGGAGAACACATTATAACATTTCTGCAGTTATAGATGACTTTTGATGGTTAGCCAATTAGCCCATAGATGTCTTAATGATCACAAAAAAGAAACGAAATTCCATATATAAGTGATCACATACCACCCCATTTTTCTGGGTTAAGAATCCATTCACAATATTCTTGATTGGGCTTCCCAAGAAAAGCTTCGGAATATTTTGTAGGGTCACTGGCAACAGCTGCTGCAATAACCTTCAAACAAAAAACTGTCATTGGAGAGTAGAAGAACGTGATAAACGACACTTTTCACACATGGATATTTGATAAATGCATTTTTTGAGCTCGCCTGTTTTTCTCACCTAATTCAACAAATTCAAACAGTGACGTGGCAAAAGTATTCACACCAGTTGAAAGGAAAGCAATTGAATCATTCAAAACAACATCAAAATACAATAAGGAAAAATCAAAGTACTACTGTCAATTCCACATTCCATCTCAAAATGGCATTGCAATACTAGTAATATTTATCATTTTGGAAAATACTAACAGTCTAAGAAGCATGACAGCAAACACAGTAGAATTTATGTATTTCAATTTTCAACAGCTCATTTGTTCATGAAATAAGGAGCAGAAATTTAACCTGTCTTAGTTCAGGAGCTTTGTTCTTGTCATGGTCCATCACATAACTGCATAGAAGAACAACAACAACAGGTTTAGTAGTGTTAACACATAAACTCTCCCTCAAAATAACATTGGCAAGAACCCTAAAGCTCAAATTTTTATTACCCAACCGCATTGAAGAGGCAACTGTTGTCTGAAGGAATGACTCTTCTAACTATAATGCCTTCCATTGGATTTGCACCTGAAAGAAAGCAACAACCTTTTCTTAGCTCTTATAAGAAGTAGATACATATAGAAAGGGGGGAAAAATCAAATCTTTATACAAAATCCTTTGAATTATCACAAAATTACAGCTAACAGATGTGATTCTCTATCCAAATAACCATGGTATGGAGAACCCAAATTGATAAATAAGAAGTAACAGAGGTTAAAACCCAATCAAATCACATAAAATATGGTTGAGCTTTTCTTGAAATACGAATCAATAGTACATGAAATGCTGACCTTGTTTATCCAAAAAGAAATCTTATTTCATAAAATTTGAAGAAAAATATTTGTGAGACAAAAGAAAACTGGCAGGCTCTTGAAGAAAACAGATAGAAAATGGTAGCTGAAGCAACAGAGAAGATGGGAGATCTAACCAGAGAAGCAAGAATTAATTGCTTTGGCTTGAAGACAGCATATATTCGGGTGACAGACAACCCAATGGCACTATATATCTGTCCCTTTAACAAGACAAGATTTACCAGAACAACAACACATCCCGCTTGCGGCTTATCTCTGAGTCTGATGTGTTAAATTTCATAGTTGGATTCCGGTTTCAGATTCACGAACAAGAAGTTTTGGGCCCAATGGGCCGCCAAACATGAAAACTTGAGCCTGAATTTTAGTATAAACTCGGGATAAAAATGAGAGAGGACTATATAGTTATGAATATATAATTTTGGAATCGTGTCCACGTGAACACGGTTTCATAGCATAAAGATTGACTTATGATGCACGGAAATTTTTAAAGTTGAATAGTTTTGTGTTTTAAAAATGCATTTCTCATTGCGTTTATGACTTGGTATTTTGTAATTTGTGTTTTTGCTCAATATGATTATGCCAATATTCTTGAGTGAGATTGTGATAGGCCTCGAACATGTGATCTTTCGTTTGGAATGATAACTATAATTTTTTTTGAAATATGGCGTACCAATATATTAATTCAAAAATTGAATGATAGAGTCAGGAGGGATTAAATCCCAGTACATAGAATGATCCTGATCATGGGCTAATCTAGCAAGAGTATGCGCATGTGAATTTAAAGTTCTTGGAATAAAACTAAGCGAACAATTAACGAAACTACTAATAGCTATCCTGCACTGCTCAACCAGAATTCCAGTATACGATAAGTTATCTATAGGTGAACCATTTTTCTCTTCCCTTTTCCGTGCAAGGGCATAATAAAATTGCGTTATATCCCGAGTATACCTAATCTTATCTCATACAAGACATTACTAACATAGATTATTGATAACTCAATTGATTCTTGGATGACATATTATAGGCAAAGATGTAAGATATAGCCTTAGCTCCCATTGTGTAAGAGTTTATCCTCTTGTGAGGGTAGCTCCTCATTGACACCGGACACTGATTCTCCTAGTAAATTATCCTTTCACAATCTTGTGGGGCGAGGGAGGATTTCGCCTTTCATGAACAAAATTATCATTTTCTGAGCCATAAATAGGGGAGCTTTATTGTGCAGAAAAATGATTAATCTATAGACTTCGTAAATCAGTAATCTAATGTTCATAGGATACATAAATTACTCGGAGAGTATTTTCAATAAGAAGAAGATGACCACCTTGCAAGAAAAAAAAGAAGAATTACATTATACATGGTTCTCTTTGGGTTTTACTAGTACTTGCTCGCTGACAGAGGGGTGGGGTTAGGCACTTTTAGGCATCAAGCTCTCTAAATCTTCTGTTTCAGTACATGGCGTAGCTGGATCTTTTGGCTCTCCATTCTTGCCTCCAAGAGCTTCGACTTCAAACTGTGTTTCTGTGAATTGCGTGGCCATTCGATGCATCCTCCTTTCATACCTCTACTCAGATGAGGATTTCCCAAGTCAGGTGAGTTCCATTGCCCCGCCAAATTCGAGGGGCTGAAGCCATCTTTACTCGAGCATCTGTCAGGAGAAGACGTGATAGCCCCCCCATTAGAAAGTCTTCCATTTGAGTACCTCCAGAGCCTAGATATGGAAGAGGACATCTTCTTTAATGGTTGATTTGGTGAGGAGCAAACTTCACTTATATCAGTAATCGGTGTCTCATCACAGCCATTGCCTTCCCAATCTGCTCCGCTTCTTGACATGGTGCTGAGCCGGCAATTCTTGTTGTTGACAGATGGGTCGCTCCCGTCAGGTGAATAACTTGATCCCTGCTCATCGAGATGGCTCACGGTTTCCCACTCACTTCCCTCGTCTTCCAAACCATCACTCTGATTGATATATGCTTTAGGATGTCTGTGAAAATTGTCTTTTGTAAACATATTAACGTCAGGGCTGACAGTATGAATTTTGGACGAATGGCTAACAGGACTGTACTGAAGAAGATGCGGTTCAATTTGCCTCTCGTTGGTTTCAGCCACACTAGCGTCTTCAAAAACAGCGAAAATGTCATCTGGATTTGGGGGCTCGTAAGTGAATTCCCGAATGTCGTGGATATTAACAGCTGCAACTAGTTGTCGAAGGTGTTCCACTTTCTTCATCTCCTCCATATCAGGGGTAGCACCTCTAGAACTTAAAAAAGACTCTAAATCTGCGATTAGTCTGTTCATATGAGAATACTTGTCTTCCAGTGTCAACTTAGCATCGATTAGCTTCATTTGAACCCGTTCCTCCCTCCAGACCTCAGCCATCTGTAACATCCTTCTCTCTTCATCAACTTCCTCGCGAAATCTTGCAGATTCCCTCTTCAATACTTCAACTTCAGCCTTGTCTTCTCCGATTTCTTTAGCTAATTCATCACACACTTCCTCTATCAACTCTCTCGCCTTCCGTTCCTTTTCATAGTCCTGCATGTAGCGCTTTGCAGATAACTTGGCATCAGCCAACTCATTAACTAACTTGGAATTAACGATTTCAAGCCTTTGTCGGTTTTTCCTTTCTCTAGTCACGTCAGCTTTCATATCGTCTAAGATTATCCGTATTTTCTCATGCTCTCTGCTTCGCCACGCAGCCCTTTCTTCACTGAGTTTCTTCAGAAATTGCTCGATTTTCTTTTTGTATGACTGCTGCTCTGTCTCAAGCTCACTAACCCGGGCCCGTGCTTTCTCTAGCTCTGCCTCAAGGACGGATACCACTCTAGGAGTATGCGTTTGTTGGGCGCGAACTTTTTGGTGACCATGAATCTGTTTTATTCCTTCAGTGGCTTTCCAGCTGATAGGATCCCACTTTGTCACTCCCTCCATTGCAGTGTTGGGAAATTGGAATGACGGTTCAAGCTACAAAAGTAAGACAGCTGGATAAATGAACGACGAATTGAACTTGAATAACATCATCTCATTGTCAATCAATAACTTGAATCAGGATATATATGTAATATAAATCAACCCATATCGTCTAACAACTATCAACAAGACAGATTCTTTGCAACCTCTACTATTTCGAATAAAATGACAGTCGACACTGAGATCTAAGATTAATATATCTACCAAATTTGTAGTACATAATACATTGTATCCCCCATCCTAATATACTCGGTGGATTTTACCATTACAACCACACTTAGACCTTTATTATGAAGTATATGAACTAGAAGACCGCAGATCAATCTCATACCTGACAAAACACTCCATTTCTTGGACCAGAGATGGAACGAGGACTCTCTACCGAATCCTTAACAGGAGAATCTTGAGCTTTACCGTGATGATGACCATAAAAAGGGATCCCAGCATGATGAACTCCACCCTGCATTGAAGAAAGAAACTGTATAAATAAACTCAAATTCCCCCCAAAAAATGATTTCGGAGGTCCCCAAGGCTCAAACTGGGTGAAACTGCTAAATGAGATCTACCTAATTCACTCTTTGCAGATATGAAAATTTTTAGTGATCATGGTCCCTAAATGGTTGAAAATACCAAATGTACACTACATAAATGGAAGTTTAATTTGCAGATAGTTACTACTTACTACAACCAACAGAAGTTTAATTATAAGCCATGCGAATGCTTATGTACACAACAAATGCACAGAGCTCAAAGGAACAATCAATACACAGAAGCTCAATTAATTGAATTTGTATATATTGATGATGATAGAAAAGCACAAAATTTAGTCAAATGTAAAGTTTATGGCGCAGAAAATGGAAAAAAGCCCTAAAAGCACCAAAACTTTTTAACTCAAATTTACCTGAAACCCTAGCTTTTCTCCGTTACTAGGCACTTCCGGCAACTGCAGCCGCCAGATTCCTGCAGCAATCTTTCTGGCCGAGACTGCAGCTCGAGTTTTCCGATTACACTTCCGACCAAGATTCGACGGGCATCCCTCTTCCGCAACACTCTCCTCTACATCCTCATTGAACTTCCACCGCAGCAGAGGGGTGTGCGGCCTGCTCCTCCTCCCAGCAGAACCTCCGCCGATATCCTTCCGCAACCGCACTCCTCCCGCACCGGAGGTCCTGATCCTCCGGCTTGGCGTCCTGCGAGGGCTGGGTTGCCTCTGCAGAAGATCTGATCCTGGCGATGCGTTCGCCGCCTTGGAAGACGTGAGTGTCGGAAGCTCAGTCCTACCGCCAGTGATCTTCATTGCTTTTGCCCAGATTCAGCCATCAACCGCCTCTACCTCCGCCTACCTGAGAAGCCAGTAACTAAACTAAACCTTCACTCTTCAGCGCGATCTCTCTCTCTCTCTCATTCACAGTACACCATTGTTACAGTGTAGATTCGTATAGTCAACGTCTATGCTTACAGCAAAACTCCGTATTTAATGGTCCGCGGAGGATGGCCATAGCCATAGCCCATAGGGCATGTAATACGGCGCCGTTTGATGACCCTAGGAAGGCATACGGCGTCGTTTGTGTTTGTGAGGGTTCAGTTAAAAGTTGGTTTAACAGTAATTATCGGACCGCCATGTTTCCGTTATAAGTGGCCCACGCGCCCTCTATAGGAGGAGCCTGTGAACTTCATTCCTCCATGTAATCACTAATTAATACCCCTAACCAGCCTACCACTATTATATCGGCAAATTATTATCCAAATAGTGCTGCGTTGATCATTAATATATATATATATATATATATATATATATATATATATATATATAGGCGAGTTCAGGTGCGGTGACCTCTTTCCGTGCGGTCGTGCGGTGATTTTTAAAATACACCAATAGTTAAGTAAGATATACATTATTAACGTAAGGAAATGCACCACAAAAAATACACACAAATTAGGTACGCATCACCAACAACAGACTATTAGGTATGACTAAAACCACCACACAGGTATACATCACCAACAACAGACTATTAGGTATGACTAAAAGCAGCACCACACAGTGTTCGGAAATACACTATAGGGAGGTATATGGTGTATTTTTTTAATGTGTTGTGTATTTTTTTAATATATTTTTATATTTTATTGTGGTTTGTTTTTTTTACACTGTTAGTATTTTATATTAACACTATTGGTATATTCTGAAAATCGGCAAATTATATTATGCACCGCGGTGCATAATCGATTATGCACCGCGCGTCTTTTTTTTTTAAATGAAAATTAACAGTGTTTGTTTCCGCCGTTTCGCACCCTTTTGCAAAATGTAACTCTGTTATTCAGTGTCATTTTGTACACACTGCAGTTTCAGTTGAACACAACTACAGTTTCATTTCGATATAACTATAGTTTCATTCGATATTTATAGACTCAAATATGTGAAAATGTTATTTAATTTTATTTTATATACACTATAATTTCATTAAAACACAACTACATAATCATTTTGATATAATTACAGCTTCATTGTACAATATACACTCAAATATGTGAAATGTTATTCAGTTTCAGTTTATATACACTGCAGTTTCATTTCACTATAACTACAGTATCATTTTGATATAACTGCAGTGTCGGTTTGGATATACTGTAGTGTCAGTTAGTGTTTAATACACCAAACAAGCGGACTCCGTTAACTCTAACGGCGGACCGTTTCTTTACTTAAAGAAACGACGTTGTTTTTGACCGCGGTGCACATGCACCGCGGTCTATAATATAACGACTGCTGAAAATCGCTGCAGGAAATGGCCACACGCATGTATATAAATGTTCAAACTGTATCTGATTACATGTGTAGAGTTGAGCCCATAATCAAATACAAAGCCCAGTATGTTTAAACCTTTTCACTGTTTAGTGCAAACTTGTCCAACACCCGATGCACCATTTAAATGCATCTAAGCCCAACATTTTTGTATTTGAAATTAAAGTCACAAATTGAATTATTGTTAACATTGTTATGGTCGAGCCTCTTGCATTCCTAGTGCGATCGTGATCTCTAAATTATTACATAATAACTGAATTTACACTGCATATCTTTAAATATGTTTTAAATTTTCTTGGCAAATTATTTTGTAGACTGTAACAAAAAGTAAAGTTTTACCTATATTAAAATTACACTATTCATGTACTGAATATATATTATACAAAATAATGTACTTTGAGTACTCAAATGATATACTTTTCCTGATAGTACGTGGTTTTCAGATATTTGTTACTTGTATCTTAGAATCTTAAAATGAAACGATGACTCATTGACTTTTTTTGGGACAAGTATTGTCTTCAAGAAAGAAGCAACAATAAGAAAATGAGAATACCCGATAGAAAGATCAACCAATAAATGTTTAATTTTACTTTTAAATTGTAACGATAGAGTAGAAATTTTAATTAATAAATAGTGACCTTTTAGGCACATAAGTATATAGATAGGAAAATATGAAATCATTTTGGAAACTCGGCTCGAAATTCAATTTAGAGAAAATTTCAATTTTGGTCCATTGACTATTGGAGTTGTGTTAATTGCAACACTTGACTTTCAAAAATGTTAATTAAGTACCTTGACTATGCAATTTCTTTCAATTTTGGTCACTCCGGCCAAATTACCGGTCAAATCTCACCGGAAATTTTTAATAGGTCAAATAATGAGGGCTTTTTTGGTCATTTTACTTTTTTCCTTTCATCCCCGGCGAGCAACTCCATTTCCGGCGAGCCAACTCCTTAACACTAACAGGGCTAGGCCTAATCAGTTTAATCCCAGGATCAATAATGAAATCATCAGGAGTACAAATCACTTCAATCGCATTAACAAACCCAAACCCAGAATCAAGAGTGGGTGTAAATTGCAAGAGCAGCGTCATCCTCTAAAATGGTGAAAGCGGGTGTGATCTCTAATAACTACTGCCCTGTTGTAGACCCCAGACAAAATCTTTGCAAAGTTGTGGCAGTCAACGGAAATCCGGAGGTCTTTAGCAACTCTAATTGTTGTGCCGGGTGGAGTTGAGAGAACACCAAAAGCTATTGCCAACTTCTCGCTGTGATAAGACAATGTAAACCTCTTTTCTTCCACCTCCGTGTTGTGCAGCTCTGATGTTATTTCAGCGACGTATCCTGCAATTTTCAGTTGCCTACCGGTAATTTACACCCACTCTTGATTCTGGGTTTGGGTTTGTTAATGCGATTGAAGTGATTTCTGCTCCTGATGATTTCGTTATTGATCCTGGGATTAAACTGATTAGCCCTAGCCCTGTTAGTGTTAAGGAGTTGGCTCGCCGGAAATGGAGTTGCTCGCCGGAGAAGAAAGAGAAAAAGTAAAATGACCAAAAAAGGCCTCATTATTTGACCTATTAAAAATTTTCGGTGAGATTTGACCGGAGTGACCAAAATTGAAAGAAATTGCATAGTCAAGGTACTTAATTAACATTTTTGAAAGTCAAGTGTTGCAATTAACACAACCCCAATAGTCAGTGGATCAAAATTAAAATTTTCTCTTCAATTTATCTATTTTATAGGCAGTATGCTTTAAAGTTTAAATTTTAAAGTGAGTTCATAGAGTTTAAGATATAGCGAGTAAAATGGTGTATTATGCGTGGCAAACAAACCCATATGTTACCAATTCATTGAGTTATCTACATCATATATAATCTGTGTGTATCTATTTGTGTATCTGCATGACGTATATAGTTTGATGCATTTGTTCTTCAAGTTTATCTTCTTATTACGTACGTAGTATGGTGAGAGATGACAACGTGTCATTAATTGCAGAGCAGATAAGGAATGCATACAGAAATTGTTGTCATTTTCAAACTCCATTTTCTAAGTTTTAATTTCCTTGAGTCAATAAAAGAACGAAAAAATTGTCACATATAAATCTTGTAGGAAAAGAACAACTAACGTTAAACACAAAGGATAACATCAGAAAAACGTGAAAAGCCAGGATCCGAAAGTGGTTGCTAAATTGGTGTGAAAAGGCTGGGAAAAATAGGATTTTATGTGTAAAGACAGTAAAGTGCAACTTTATGGATAAAAAGGGGGACATGATGCCATGGACGCCCAGTTTCCTTGTTGTCATCGAGAAGGCGGTGCCGACTTGGAATCCACATCATCCACGTACCATTTTTATTTTATTTTTTTATCACCAAGATTTTCTTTTTACTATATCATAAATTCTATGAATCCGTTTTTAGATTCATAAGAATGTAAATCAATCTTACGTAATATTGAGACTAATACTCAATTGTACACTTATGGGCACAAATGAGACAAAGAGTCCAATCTCAACATAAGGAGTCTAACTCTAGTATAGCTGTATAAGGAGCTGATGAACTTCAGCATCTTAGAAAGTCCAACTTCACCTGAGGAATTCAAATGTATCGTTATATTACGTATGACGATAATGCTCTTACTAGCTTCAACTGGCACCTTATCATCATCCTCCAAGAGTTCAAAATTAAGATTACATTTGATACAATCACACATGACACATCGATTCTTTTGAAAATAGAAATATATTTTGTAATGCTTAAGTTAATTGGAGTTAAAGTTTACTATTGATGAGCAAGTTTTTATAGTAAAGTTAAAGTTTCAACTTTGAGTATCTATTATGAGTATTTGTATTGCGATGTTTGTGCGTGGCGAAAAATAGCCAAAAAAAGTTTGGACTAAAAAGTATCTAAAAAAGAACAAATATACTTTGAATATTGATGCAAGAGAAATTTAATATTATAATTTAGAATATATGATATACACCAAGTAAAACTCAATCTAATTTTAATATTTTATATAAAATTTAATTGATCCAAACTAAGTCGAACAGTTATATATACTCGAATTGAATATAACATATTTACAAAATAAATAAAATTGAAGGGTAAAATACTCAAATTTAATTCAATTTATTATTCAAAGTTAATAGTTTACAAGTAACTTAACCCACTAACCTCTAATTTGGTATGCTAAGGTTTGATTCAATTCCACACGGATTAAAAGCTTCTTTAATTATTTGTTATTACAATTGTTTAATTATGATTTGTATCTGGATTTCCGACGTAATTAGGGACACGTCACACAGATTAGCAAGATTCTCGTGGATTAGTTGCATTCACACGTGTACTAATCGTGTAAAAGATTCGATATTTTACCGTTTTCACACGTAGGTTTCAGCTGGCTTGAGCTTTGGCTGCGTTTCTCACTACTATTTGCTTAATTACTCCGTATTACCTTCTCAGTGTGAGACACGCATGAGCGAAGCCACGCCGAGTGCCGAGCCGAGCCGAAGAGGTAACATAGGCGGTGACGTCACAGCACACTAGATGGGGTTAATCTTGTCTCTTGTGCCGCATTGCCCCGGTTTTGCTTTGCTTCACTCGTTTGACCCGTTACAATTTTTTTCCTCTGTTAATGTATATTTCCATTATAATAAGGCAAAATTTGTATGAGACCCGTTTCATAGATCATTATCCGTGAAATGGATCGAGTCAATATGATATATAACACTTATACTAATAAATGTAAGGGATAAAGTATAAATAAATCATTAAACTATTTGGGACACATCAATTAAGTTATCGAATTCAAATAAGCTATTGAACTTGGAAAAAAAAGAGCAAATAAACCATTGAACCCGGAAAAAATGAACAATTAATATTTTTAACAGGTTAACTCCAGATTTTTGCTGATTGGATTACCAAATATTTATTTTATTTACGTTTCTTCTTATTATTGTTAATATTAATATTATCCACTTTGATAATATTATATTTTAAAATAATTATAATCACAATAGTTTTGTCTTGTCAAGATTTGATTGATTAATTTATTTATTATTATTATTTCACTAGATCTTCTGTTTAAACAATAATAATAAATAATTAAATTAGATCTAGATAAGATAAAATTATTTTGATTATAATCACTTTAAAATATATTAATATGTAGTGGATTATAATAAAAAAATCATAAATAAAATAAATATTTGACAATTCAGTAAAATCTAGAGTTAACATGCTAAAAATGTTGATTATTTTTTTTTTAGAGTTCAATGACTTATTTGAGGTTATTTAAGTTTGATGACTTAGGGTCCGTTTGGAAAGCAGGAAAATGACTTTTGGAAAATGTTTTCTGGAAAATGAGTCATTTTCCGGAAAACAATTTCCTTTCCAGTGTTTGGTTGCATTCTGGAAAACTGCTTTTGTGTGTTTGGTTCATTTTCTGGAAAATGAGTAGAATTGTATAATTAACCATTTTAATTATTTTATTTAGAATATTACAACATGTATAATAATATAATAATAATTTTAAATATATTAAAAAAATAACTAATAATATATCAAAAATATTATGGTGGTGGTGGTGGTGTTATTTGTTATATAATAATAATAATAATAATAATAATAATAATAATAATAATAATAATAATAATAATAATAACAATAATAATAATAACTGGTGGTGGTATGACGGTGGTAGCAGTGGTGGTGGTGGTGATGGTGTGGTGGCGGTAGTTGCAGTGGTACGGTGGTGGTGGTGGTGATGGTGTGGTGGCGGTAGTTGCAGTGGTACGGTGGTGGTGGTGGTGGCGGTGGCGGCGGCGGTGGTTCCGGTGGTATGGTGGTGTTGGTGACGGCGATGGTTGCGGTGGTATGGTCGTGGTGGTGGCGGCGTCGGTGGTGTGATGGTGGTGGTGTGGTGGTGGTGGCGGTGGTGGCGGTGGTTGCGGTGGTATGGTGGTGGTGGCGGCGGCGGCGGTGGTGCAGTGGTAGTGGTGGTGGCGGTGGTATGGTGGTGGTGGCGGCGGCGGTGGTGTGGTGGTGGTGGCGGTGGCGGTGGTGGTGTGATGGTGGTGTGGTGGTGGTGGCGGTGGTTGCAGTGGTATGGTGGTGGTGGCGGCGATGGTGGTTGCGGTGGTATGGTGGTGTTAGTGGCGACGGCGGTGGTAGTGGCGGTGGTGTGATGGTGGTGGTGGTGGCGGCGACGACGGTGGTAGTGGCGGTGGTGTGATGGTGGTGGTGTTGGTGGCGGCGGCGGCGGTGGTGGTGGTTGCAGTGGTATGGTGGTGGTGGCGACGACGGTGGTTGCGGTGGTATGGTGGTGGTAGTGGCGGTGATGTGATGGTGGTGGTGTGGTGGCGGCGGCGGTGGTGGTGTGATGGTGATGGTGGTGGTGGTGGCGGCGACGGTGGTGGTGGCGGCGACGACGACGATGGTGATGGTGGCGGCGGCGGCGGTGGTGGTGTGATGCAGTAGTGGTGGTGATGGTGGTAGTGAGGTGGTGGTGGTATGGTGTTGATGATGTTGGTGGTGGTGTGATGTTGGTGTAAAAGTTGGAAAATGACTTCCCCCCAAAAAAAGGGGAAGTCATTTTCCTCCAAAACAAGCTTATTTTCCAAAGTCAACGGAAAATGATTTCCGTTGACTTGATTTTCCAAGCACATCCAAACAATGAAAACTTGGAAAATGATTTCCAGAACTCATTTTCCAGGTTTCCAAACACACCCTTAATTGATATTTCCTAAATAGTTCAGTGACTTATTTTTACTTTATCTCTAAATGTAATATTAAATTATAAATAAAATATTTATTATTTATATGAGAAAATATAATAATTTTACATTTTGATATAAAAATATTACTTTTTCATTAAAAGTATTATATTTTTCCTAAATTACTTATTAAAGTATTACATTTATCATATTCCTTTCTACGCATGCAGTTTGCCCCACGCCCGGTCCCCGTTGCTTCCCACTTCCCACCTCCCTATATAAACCCCCCCAATCAAGCCGCCACAAGTCTCAAGAACCCTCACTTTCCATCGATTCACAGACCGATACCTTCAAATTCAATATAGAAATTAAAGCCAATCAGAATGGGGAACTGCGTGAGAAAAGAGGCGTCCACGCAATGGGGCGGCGAGGACTGGAGCTCGCCGTCGCCGCTGGCGGCGGAGAAACAGGAAGAGAAAGGCGGTTTTGAGAGTTCCGGCGGCAGGAGAGAAGTAAAAGTGCAAATCAGTAAAAAGCAGTTGCAGGCGGTGCTGGGGAAGGCGGCGGATGTTGACGGCGGCTCTTCCGTGCATCAGCTTCTAGCAGATTTGATGAACGCCGCTCGTCACTACGAGATCGAAACGCATCATCGTCATGCGTCTTGGCGGCCTTCCTTGCAAACCATACCTGAGCTCTAGCAGATTTTTACCTCTTTTTACCGTATGCTATACTCGTCGTTTTCCTTTTCCTTCTCCTTTTTACTTTTTAGATAGCGTTTTAGGAAAAATGTGTAAATGAAGTTCTCTAGTTTTTTCGTAAAAGTATTTTAGCAATTTTTGGAGTTTAGACGCCATTGTAAACTGAAATTGCTTTTAGTGGAAGAGAAACGTTTCTTTGGCGCAGAGCATATGTGAATGCAATGAAATATCAATAGATTGTTATGACGGAAGAGAAAATTTCAATTTTGGTCATATGACTATAGGTATAGGTCTTGGTCATATGATTATAGGGTTTTGGTCATATGACTATAGGGTCTTTGTTAATTTCAGTATCTGACTTTTAAAAATGTCAATTTAGTATTGCCGGTTAGGAAAAACTTAATCTTTCATTTAATATATAATCTGAGGGGAAAAATAGTCTTTTGAAGTCTGGTAAAATTGTCTCTTTTTTTTGGCGAACTTTAGTCGGTAATTTAGCCGGAGTGACCAAAATTGACAAAAATTACATACTCAAGGTACTAAATTGAGACTTTTAAAAGTCGGGTGCTAAAATTAACAAAGCCCCTATAGTCATATGACCAAAATTAAAATTTTCTCCTCAAATGAATATAGTTATGACTAATAACGTCCTGCCGATCCAGTGGGTCACGCCCTCGATCTATGATTCATTATAAATTAAATGAGTAACGATAGCAAAAGCACCTTGTGCGGATGACATATAGTGACATATTTTGTGTTAGAGGTCATAAGAATTGAGTCTTAGTGTAACATTGTTGACTCTCTTTGTGCTTTATTAGGTTGAGAAAGTATGTTTGAACAAGAAAAAAATATCATTTTTCTAAATTATATTATAATATGGTCCGACATTGGTAACCTATAGTTCATGTCTCAAAGGTGTATATGAAGCTTAGCAAGCCATTGAAAAAACTCATATTGACAAATTAGAGGTTAGAGGTGGCTAAACCTCGAGGATCGGTCTCATGTCGGGCCCAGACCAAACATGGGCCTAAGTTAACACTAATCAGGAACGATTCAGGATAACCTGGGCTGGTCTCGGACCTCTTATGGGTCGATCCCGAGCTAGTTCATATATGATGAATAATTAAGATATTGAATTTAGCAAGTTAGCTGTCATATGACATAAAGATATCATAAAGAGGTTCATAAGATAAGTGGTTAATGCACAAAACTCACAAAATTAAGTCTAAAATAAGTGAATAATCTAGTTTAACCGATTACTAATTTATAGGTCAAACAATCAAGCTTATAGCATTTGTGACCTAACTTGGTCAGCCTCTTACTCAACGACTAAGAGTTATTACATTATTTATTCTTGAGTTTTCTATTATCTTTTTATTATACTTATTATGACGAGAGATTAGTATCGCCTTAGCTGAATTGGTCCAATCTAATAAAAATGGTCATATCAAGTGGAATAGTCCAAAGTCCATACTTGATGGCCCAAGCGTGTTAGCATGCACACTTAACAACATTTGATACAATTAGCATGTCAAAATTGGAGTTGTCATTGTCTAGGGATATTATTTTATGGAGTATTTCACTGATCATGATAAAATTATTAGTATTGTTTATAAATAATAAGTTGTGTCTCAATTATTGTTCATAATATGTCAAAATTTATGTCTAACTTTTTATTTTTGATTATTAATAAAATTTATGAATTTATTTTATGGTTGAATTATATTATGAAGACAAAATCACCTTATTATTTGATATTCTCTTATATTATATTTTGAACCCATTTATGTTATGATAAATATATTACACCAACATTACCAACTACGTCCCATTTTGACAGGCAAACTACCAAAGGACAAGGACAAAAATGAGAATTACATATTACATAGTCTAGATAGTTACGTCCGTATAAAATATCATTAATGTCCTGTTAAAACAAAAAATCTCAAAAACCTAAAATCTCTCGATATTAATTGTCGTCATAATCTCTCTCTGGTCACTCCATTTCTCTCCATTTACTTCCTCTGCGTTACAGCTCCACGAATTCTAGGGTTTTATGTAAGGTTCATCAGTCCTCGTTAGTTCTAGTCTGCTCTTCGAAGGTACGTTCAAGCTTCGAACCTATCGCCTTGGTATTCAGCTTTTATTTTTATTTTATTTTCCTGTTTAAATTTTAACTTTACCCACACGATAATGCGGTTTGCTAAATGGATTGCGTTTGAATAGTTGCTCAGCTGATGTATGGCGACAGGGGTGTAATTCGAGTGATGTTTAACGATGTGAAGTTTATCGGTTTTGCGAGTTGAATTTACTTTTTGTTTGTTTTTTTCAATTTTAGGATTGAAAATTGCTGTGTTCTTTTTTGGGGAAAATTTTGTTTTTGTTCCGTTTTAGTGTGTTGTGATTTTTGACTGCATGTATAGAATGAAGACCCTAACTACACGACAGTTACTGAATTACTCTGTTCACCATGTCCTCCTCTGTGCCCTCTGTCATGCACTTGCTCTGGTTTAGTGTTCTTTTGTGCTATGATATGTACTTAATGCTGACAAAGTGGTGTTTTCTTCCACATTTCTGTTTTGATGGATCATGGAAATGTATAGCATGGTTGATCTGCCACTTCTGTTAATTAGTTTTATTAATTAGGTTAAATTTGTTAACTGTGTGAAATCCACTTTGCTATGTTCCTTGATTCTTGTTCCTGTATGGAGCAAATTAAAGGAGGAAAGAGAGAGAGATGAGAAAATATGCTAGCAGCTAGCTAAACAAATATTCATTAAGTCATTGTGCCGCATGTTAAAATCGAAATCGAAACAGACTCTTAGTTAGTAGCCAATGGTCTTGCCACGTTACTTCCTTTGGCCTTCTTATTACTGATATTAACGAATTGCTCAGTTCATTCCCTAGTGCAATTCTATATTTTGTTAAACGAACCGCAAACCATACTGCCCATTTGATTGCTAGGGAGTCTGTCTCTTTATCTATTTGTACAGAGTGGCTGTCTTGCCCTCATTTTATTGTTGACTCTTTGTACTCGGAGTTATGTTAATGAAACCTTCAGTTACTCTAAAAAAAAAGTGTATAGAGGTGTATTCTCATTGAAGTTTAGTTATGTTTGAATTTCATTGGACTGAAGACTGATCTCTTTGGCAGGGCTGAGGTTATACAGACTACTGGGGAGTGAGGATAAGGCAGGGTAATTTTCCTTGTGAAAATGAACCATGCTATTCAAATGGACCACTCAAATAGCCAACTTGTTGCCCTCCCTGTGAAGCGTAGAAGAGGTCGACCTAGGAAGGATCGGAGTCTAAATCATGCTGGGAGTACTCAAGTTCCGCCAGTTGGTGAAAGAGTAAAAGAAAACCCAGCCCCTCGAGTAGAGAAGAATAGCGATGCAGTTAATGATATGGTGGGTCAGGCAGTTACAGGTATAATTGAGGCTGCATTTGATGCTGGTTTTCTGCTCAGTGTTAGGATTGGAGACGGCAAAACCAGACTGAGGGGTATTGTCTTTAAGCCGGGACATTATGTTCCCATAACAGCAGAAAATGATATTGCTCCACATGTTCAGATGATACAAAGAAATGAAACCCATCTCCCTACGGAAAATCAAGTGCGCAGCCGTAAGCGATACAGACACAGGACTGAGCGCAATGGATCTCCATCTGCACGTCGGGCATCAAAAGGCAACAACTTAGCTATAATGTTGGCCCCTTCTGTTCCTCCAGTGGGTGCCAGAGGCACTGTTGTCCCTGTTGTACTCCAACCTGTTAACCTAACAAATGGATTACCAAGGACCACTGAAACCGCTATGGATGCTTCCCAAGCTTATATGGAAGCTTTAAGAGATAAAGGTGTGCAGATGGTTAAACCCTTGGCTATGTTACCACCCGAGGGATCAACAGCCATGGTAGTTGCACATGAAGCACCGTCCTCTCACAGACAACTTAGCCATGAAGAACCATCAGAAGAGATACAAAATCAAAAGGGTTCACCCAGTGACAGAGGAAGAGGTGTTGAGCATGGGGAAGAGACCAGCCATGTAGCACCTAGCAATGTAGTTATGCCTAGTGGTGATTCTGACAGAAACCAGGGATATCCACACCCACCAGAAAAATTACATGTCAGACGAGAAATGAATAAGCCCCCATCAACAAAACCCCTTGAAGCTTTACATCCCAATCTTCTTAACGATCCTAAATCACTTCCGAACAAATTCATGCACTATGGCACTGGCAGGATGACTGAGCTTTTACAGGTAACTAAGATGCATATTCAATCTTTCATAACCTCTTTCTCTATATACACCTGCTTGTGTTCATACATCCATGTGTCTATATTTGTCCATGCATGCCCATTGGTTGCTGAAATAGATCCTATGTGAAGGCTCTGCAGGAAAATTTGGTAGAGAACCCGGTGCACGAGTCTAGTGAAATTAAGTTTTCAGGAAGCAACAACAACAAAGACGAAGCAACCAAACAGTAGTAGAACCATTCTCAGTTCTCATATCCATAAACGTCATTTTGTACAGCAGTACTTGCACTCGAAGAGCAAAAGAGCCATGAAAACCTGGAACTCCCGGCTTCCAGATCGAGCAACTTTAGCAGAGCTTTTAAAAATTTGCAGATTTAGCCAAGACTATGTTTCAAAATTCAAAGCATTGATGTGTAAAAATCCTTCCAGCTTATAACTCTTTTCAAGTATTAATGCCTTTCTTGTTCATCTTTATGGTTTTGCTTATCGTGTAAGAAACTTGTTCAGAATAAGACACCAAAATCAGTACAAACAGAAGATATGCAGATTTGTGCAACGGATAAAAGAATGTTCCAATGTTTCGATTCCTGTCACAAACATTAAGGATTTAAATTGCACAAAAATGAACAATTTGGTCTCGAGTTTAAACTGAATTAGCTTGATTTATTTCTTTATGCTTGCTATGCATTTCAAAACTGAAACCAAAACTCTCACTAAGAATCTTCCTATGCTTGAAAAATGAGAACTAACAGTTTCGCCTGCCAAAACTCAATTTACAATATCCAGTCTATATGAAAGAATAGCCTGCTCTCATATGCAGTAAAAATGAATAACCTATAAAACATGTAATGATATAAATCAAAAGCCAAAACTTGCTGGAACTCAGAGAGAATGAAAGAAGAATCGTTGCCGGTGATAGCATCACGCGAATTTAGGGCTGAAAAAACCGTTGGATCCCGGAACTTGCATCGGTCGCAGAACAGGGAAAGAAGGATGCGAAATAGGAATCTGACTTGGCATCGTGTATGTTTGCTGCGCACCATTAATGAAAGGGGGAGTCATACACACGGGCAATGTTTGCGCGGTTGCATTCCCTGCGGTAGAAGGTTCTAGTTAGTCACGGGGGCAACTAAAGTAGATATGAACAAACGCCTCACGCAAAGTATAATTTCCATTACTGTCGTTTTACGGGGTTAATGGCATTTGATATCAAAGAAAAGAGTGGGGGACTCGACGTTTTAATGTCAAATGAAGAGGAATTGCAAAACTTACAAACAACAATTAGGTTCGGCTAGTCTAGAAAGTAAGATCAAATGAACATTGTCCTGCAAGAACGAAAAAACATGCCAGAAAGTTTTTCGTGACTATACCTTGATGCTTAGGAAGATGGGCCTGATGCGGATTCAACAAAGGACACGAGGATACTTGGGAGAACCCTGATGCACCCTGCACAATACCCTTAGACATACACCGAAAAGAATCAGCAAAAACAAAAGAAATTGGCAGTTGTACACCCCCCCCCCCCCCCATCCCCCATCCCCGCCCCCAACCCACACCATAAAGAGAGAGGATAATAGAAAATCTCGCTTCCCCAGAGTTGCTTCTGTTCGAAAAAAGACAGCTTTACATAAAGAACTGTTTTTTATCAACGAAGCCTAGCAATTCAGAATTTATCTTACATGAGAAACAGGATGCACATAAAGAACTGGTCCCAGTCGTCCAACCATGACCTACAAAAATATCATAATCCAAAGTTTTTTTTTTTTTTATAAAAAAAAAACAAGAAAATAATCAAATCATTAGCAAACACCACCCTATGAGCAGGAAAAGGCGAAATCTTGAAATCTTAATGACTACGATTACATACATTTTCCGAGTTTGGATGAACATATCCACTCCCAGCCTGAAGTTGATGATACTGACTAGCATACCTAGTTGGTGCTGCCCGGCTCCCCATATATCCCATTGCCTACATTCCAAAAAAAAAAAAAATGAACCCCAAGGTTAAAATGGGAAAAAAACAACTCTACCAGAGCCAATATACGAGAGCTACAATAAAAAACCGCTAGAAATGGACAATTATCTGAGATACTTACAGGTTGGGCATACTGTACATCGATATTGCCATTTCCCGCTACCATATTGTTACATTGGACAAACTTAATAGGTACAGAAGATCGAGGAACAAATGGACTGATTTCAACTTCGGGTTCAGGAGTAGCAACAGGTAACACGGGGCAGGAGTCAGGTGCATAAGCCATTGTTGGCACCGCAGGAGGGTTAACTGCTCGATGGTGACCAATGGAAGGACGAAATATCTTGGCCCCCGGGTTGAGCTTAGACTCCTAGCGGGAAGGGTAAAAATCAAATGTTAAAATTGAATGCATATATTAAATAATGATATCAAGTATCAACTGCTGCTTAAAACCTTACCTTTGCAGCTTTATTACAGCTTGAACTTCGTGGGGGCACCTTAGAGGTAACACCTGCAATAGGTGTACCGTCTTTCAGAACACTAGATGGAGGAGTAGCGGAACTTTGACTAATTTCTATGCTTCGTCGCTCATGAATGTTCTTCTGTTCGAAGTTCTGATCAATTTTGACCAAAGACACGAGGGGAAAGTCAGAAGACGCATTAGCCAGTGACTCACAATGTGGATTCGAGCCTCGAGCTTCATGTGGCTGCAAAGCATTAGAGAATAAAATTTGAATTTTTATGAATTCTTGATTAGCTGTTGTAATACGATAATTACACTTACACTTACGATTTTCCCTTGTTGAAACACGGGGCTCTCTCCATTATCTGTCGGTCTATCCTTCATGCTGTCTTGAGCATCTCTATCATAATAACATATCCATATGAATCTCAAGTACAAGGAAAGATTACCATGTATACAAAAAAGGGAAAAACATCCAACAAATATGGAAACTGGTATTTGCGAAACTTCCAAAGAAACGAACTTTTTTCTATTGGGCAGTATCGCATCTGTGCTGGACTCGTTAGGCTTTGCAGACTTCGCCTCCCTCTCTGCAGCCTCGTTGGAAGGAATATCGTCAGCTATGGCTCCTCCATCGTCACCCTTCACATATCCCGGAATACCATCAGCTGGGAGTGTAATTCCCTGTAAACGACAATATTAGTGTCGAAAATACGTTCAGAGCAATACACTGACACATTAGAACCCAAAGTTGCGAAAAGCAAAGCTACCTTAGCAACAATTTGAGCGAGATCTTCAGATAGAATAACAAGTGTATCGACCACACTTCCACTAGTTACATTCGCTTTCCGAGTCCCCTTCTTGACCATCATTGCTTTCTTCAATACAATAGCTAACCCAATTCACGCGAATATGAGTTACTTCAAACCAATTCTTGATAAGCAACATACTATGTGAGACATAATAAAATCCTTTTGGTATCTGATCTTAAATAATTTTGTTTGGGCAAATCCTTGTTTTTGGGTTCAAAAAAAAAAACAGTAAACATAATAATTAGATAAAAAGAAACAAAGAGGGATTTGAAACTCTCTCCCCAAACAAAATAATTTCAGATCAGATACCAAAATGATCCAATTGAAAACAATCCGAGCAGCCACAATTATCCAAGGGTATCATAAAAGATACGAACTTTACACAAATTAAAGAACATCCATTGAGGGATTTAAGAAATCAATGATTTGAAGCTCACCATAGCTGTCCTCTACACAGGCCGTGTGGAATATGCCAGAATAAATTGAGCCATCCTTCACGTGGACATCCACCGGGAGGCCAATGATGCACATGGTGGTGAAAAGCAAAACCTCAGACACGGCGGCGGCGGCGGCGGCGGCGTTTTCTTCCTCTGCAAGTGCTCCTTTCCTGCATCCCATATCTGATCAGTCTTGGCAGCAATATCTACCCTTTCCTTTGTATTTGTATATATTGCTTATTTCTGTATATATTCCTACTGGTTTTTCAGGTGAATTTCAATGGCGTTCTTGCTTATTGTGATGGTACAAGGTGTACAAGTGGAATACGCCCTGAGGTGGTACGAGGGAATCAAATCCAACAACTGTGTAATAAGGGAATGAAACCTTGTAAAAATTGTTGCTTTTTCCGACTTTATTTTTCCCAGGTTTTTCCATGATCTGGTTTTTTACTCAGAGAACCTCGTGTTTTGCGGTATTTTTACGATACTTGTTTTCCCTTTAGCCCACATATTTCAATCCTATTCTATTTAGACCACTACTAACATTTTATAGTTAGGATTATTATATTCATAATATCATAATATTGTTACGTGGTGAACTTGGTGCCAATTCCCTCCTTGTTGAGATATGAGAATGAGAATGATATCATATAGGATTTAAAAATAATACAGAAATAAATAATGGGTATTTATATTAAATATCAGTTTGTTTACGTCATTATGATGTATTGCAAATAATTGATGAAGCTTTTTTAGTTGGCAATTGTAATTTAACAATTAGGTTATACATAAGTATATTAAATAGGTATAATATTTTATGCTTGATACCTTACAAGCTTGGATCGACCAATTAGTTACATATATATGTCTAAACTAGTTGGTTAATTGACATCTCAATTAGCTAGGTTTTGGACTGTCTTCTTAATAGTTGATTTAAAGTTATGATATTGAATTTAGTATTTTGATTATTTGACCAATTGAACTATCCAAAATTCAATACTTATAATAGTGCATTAGTGCACATCGTTATAGTTAACAATTTTGTGAAATGGGCCTACAAATGATTGCAATCCTAATTGGTCAAATCACGCATAAGTGTATTAGATAGTGATATGGAATATACTCCGGTCTACTGATTTTTTTGTTACGAGTCGCATCAAGATCTGAATCATTTTCTGACATGAACCGATCATAATGTAGCATATGGTCAACCCGACCTGAATGTTAATTGACTTGTTGGTCTGATGAGCCGATGCTTTAACCTTTTTAGGCTTGGTCCCGACCCAAGTGCTCTTTCGGGACCCCAATCACGTATACTTTGTGTCTAAACTGGTCTCAATAAGCAAATAGCTAGTAAGATATATCCTTGCACATATGTCTCCCCTTAACTGATCCGATTATGGAGTGCATGGAGGGTACGTGGCGCTCAAGCCGATCCCTCGCCATGTGTCCCTTCAAAATTCATATAAATATCCCGTGACACGCTGGTAGGAGGTACTTTTGATAATTTCTCTATAAGTCTTATTTAGCTCGGGAATCTATAGCCTCACGCCTCTAACCGAGCTTAACCCATTAAACCAAGACTACACAAGGGCCAACGCCCCGTCCGATCCAGTACTTCTTATGTAATCGTAGTAAGCCCCGTATTTACTACATCATATAAATATAATAGCTTACTACTAACGTCCTACAAGCTCAAGTTTAAGCAAGTTGTTTAAATAACATATTGATTTGCTAGGTTTGGGTTGAGTATTCCTTGAGAGTTAATTTTGAACTTGAGATATTAGGTCTATTGTTTTAGTTATTAGCATATTTGACTATTCAATAACTCGACACTTATGGAGTTTTTGGTAGGAATGAAATTGCAACAATTTTATGGAATTACTTTGGTTGGAGGGAACTATAATTTCATAGAATTGCAATTCCATGCTTTGTGGAATTGCAATTCTATTATAAATTACCATTTTACCCTCATTATCATTATTATATTAATATTATATAAGACCATTTTAGTATTTATTCACTTCTTCCTTTTTAATTCCTCATCACCCTATTTCTTCTTATCAAATAATGTAATTTAAATTTTCACTTTATTCTTTTATAATCGAATTATAGTTCTTTTTCCCCCTAATTTCCTCATTTGATACGTCATAAAAAATATATATTTGTGATTGGGCCTAAGTACCTGCGGTCCAGACCACATAAAGACAACGGAGTAGTTTTATTTTAGGCCAAATCGGCCCAAATAATCGCCTATATAAAAAGCAGACAGCTTCTGTAATTATTGTCGTTCGTCTCGCGAACCCGCAATCGAATTGGTTTCATCTCCCTGTGCACCTCTTTCGTAATCTAGGGTTCTTAGTTCGAGCATGCAGCCGAGCGGAGTGGTCCCACCGCCGATGGCTCCGATGCCGACGAATCCGGCTCAGCAGCCGCCACAGTATCAGCAGCCACCTCAGCAGTGGATGTCTGTGCCGCCACCGCAACCGCAGCCTCCCACCGTCTGGCACCAGCAGCCACCGCCAATGGCGCAGCATGCTATGCCTCATCCTCAGCAGACGCAACAGTACGCTTCTCTCCCCTCCGGCACGACCGCCGCCTCTTCCTCGAGTCCCAGCGAGGTTAAGTCTCTGTGGATTGGGGATTTACAGTACTGGATGGATGAGAATTATATTAATACCTGTTTTGCTCATACTGGAGAGGTGCGTAGATATATATTTGGTTTATTCAAATAGTCTCTCTTTTGTTTTGGTATAAGTAGTTCTATACTTCTATTAATGAAAAGTATTCGACATTTGTTTGGTTTTATGGACGGTGATCTACCAAGAAAATATCGAGTGGTCCGAGTTTTGAGAATATTAGCCACCTGGAAAGATTTTGTACAACCTAAAGTTCTTCGATTATCCATTTTATTTTGCTAAAAAAGTTAGACTTTTCTGAATGATGGTTAAAACTAAATCCAAAAAATCCAGAGTTGGGCTATAAATGTGGCAGAAAATACTATAGCCAGCCTATCAGATGAAGAAGCTCTCTTTTGATTAAAAGATATATATTGTCTTTTTCCATGGCTGCAGTATCTTCTAACTAAGTTGCTTTTGGTTTCAGCTTACTTCCTCAAAGGTCATCCGTAACAAGCTAACTGGTCAATCCGAGGGGTATGGTTTTGTCGAGTTCAGGAGTCATGCAGCTGCTGAGAATATATTACAAACATATAATGGGACAGCTATGCCAAATTCTGAGCAGAATTTTAGGTTGAATTGGGCAACACTTGGAGCTGGTGAGAAGCGGGATGATACTCCGGACTACACCATTTTTGTTGGAGATTTGGCTGCTGATGTGAATGATTACTACCTGCTAGAAACATTTAAAGCTGTGTACTCTTCAGTAAAAGGTGCAAAAGTTGTAACAGATAGGAGCACTGGACGTTCCAAGGGCTATGGGTTTGTTAGGTTTGGGGATGAGAGTGATCAATTGCGCGCCATGACTGAAATGAATGGTGTGGTGTGCTCATCTAGGCCCATGAGGATTGGACCAGCTGCTAACAAGAACCTTGTGAATACGCAGCAGAAAGGTTTGTTCCTATTATTCCTTCAGCATTGCCTACACCACGCTTGGTTTTCTATAAAAAAATTACGACTTTATTTTTGTTTCATCATTATGTTTGATCTTGGTATCAACTCATTGTCTTCTTTAATTTAGTTTGCTCTGGTAATACTTGAAATTGCATTTGTTTAATTGATGAGTTCCTTCTTGGCATGGTTCTAAGTTCATGGTGCTTAAAATTGATTACTCTTTCTGTTATACACTTTCCAGTCATTTCCTTCTGTACTTAACTTCTATATGCTTGAAGATTCGAGGAATTTAAAGAGACGTCTTTCCATACTTTCCATTACAAACTTGGGCGGCTTTAATTATGTCAAAACTTGCATGAACTTATAAAAACTAATGTTGTCTCAAAGCAGGAACACAGAGGCTCTCGTATATGGGGGCCTGGAACTGATTTCAGCTGAAATGATACCACTTTAGTGCGTGGCCTCATTTTAGGTCAGTTAATTTGTTTATGTCGTAAGCTTCCTTTCTTCAGTTTCTTGTGGCATCTCTTGTGCTACATTAAGCTAGTCTCCATTTATTTAGTTATTAGTTACAACCCTGAGTAAATTTATTTTTTACAACCTGCAAGTGTTGCACTTTTTCTTCCACTGCTTTCCTAGTTCATATAAATCCTTCATTTTCACATTTTGTTTAACTCATTTTTGGTCATCTCCTTCCATTCAAATATTGCAACACACTGCTTTACACTTTCCCTTTAATTAAGTATTTTTTCTGTCTCATCAAACTATCATTATTGAGTACAACTCTCCCATCCTGCTCCCTGATTTTAAAAAATTTAATATGACTTCATTCAAAGTTGCCAACATCTTCTTCTTTTTTTTTTTCATGTTCCCCGACTCTTTTTAAATTTCTATTTTGCACATTTTAGCTTTTTACGTGCAAATATCTCAAGTTGGGATTGTGGGTTTCATGCACAATTACATATATTTAGAACTTGCAGTTTTGACTGGTAACTGATTTTTTGCTCGGTCTGAATAGTGTCAATACTTTTCTCTGTCATCAAGTTGTATGTCCTTTCTAGATTTATAATTGAGTGAAAGGGTTGGCACATATGCTTTTATGCAAATAATGGACAAAACCAGATTTGTATTTATACAACTATGTAGTAACCATGATCGAAGGAGTTGCTTGGATACTTCACTGTTCTCTCTGCTGTCATTTGCTTGGTTTTTAGTTGTTCAGCACTGTTCCTGGATCTCATATTATTGTGTTCTTTGATTGTGATTGCTTGCCATGAATTCTTATACTTAAGTGTGCCAAATTGGACTGGTACTTGTTTATTCTGCACTATTAATTGACAGTGTTGTGATTTTTGAATGGGCAGCGAGCAACTTGCTGCTGTTTTTTGGGTGCTGGGTTTAATTTCTTCTGCCTTGATTTTTGTGCTAGAATTTTCAACACAAGACAGACTACACTTATTTAATTTCCTACTATTAACCTTTGTTCATGTCCATCACTTTTTGTCACTGCAGCTACGTATCAAAGTTCACAAGCTGGTCAAGGCGACAGTGATCCAAATAACACAACAGTGGGTAGCCTGTCTCAATATTTGAATTAGTATTTCAATATAATGTGCACAGTTTAACTCATATTTTATTGCAGATATTTGTTGGTGGTTTGGACCCCAATGTTTCAGAGGAGCTTATGAGGCAAGTATTTTCACCTTATGGTGAACTTGTTCATGTCAAAATAGTTGCGGCTAAGCGCTGTGGTTTTGTTCAGTTTTCTAACAGGTGAGCAACAACCTCCATTTAGAATAAAGTGTTTGCAAAATTTTCATGAACTTGTATCTTATGCATTTGTTATTTACGTCCAGGCCTTCTGCTGAGCATGCTTTATCAAGCCTTCAGGGCGCACAGTTAGGAGAACAGAACGTCCGGCTTTCGTGGGGACGAAACCCCTCTAACAAACAGGTTAATGACACTAAGAATACATAGGTGCAGCATAAGCTTTGATAAGACCGTAGGTTTCTGATTTGTTTTTTCATTTTTGATCAGTCGGACCAGACCCAGTGGGGTGGTGGTGTTGGTGGTTCTTATTATGGGTATGCACAACAAGGGTACGATGCATATGGATACGCTCCGCCTCCACAAGACCCTAATATGTACTATGGAAGTTACCCAGGATATACAAATTACCAACAGCCACAACAGGTATGATGGCTAGGCAAGTTTATACGTTGTGGTGATTTTGTTTTAGGTAGTGAAAAGGGATGGGATTAAGTTTGAGGTGAATGCTGATTCTTTTTTCCTTTGCTATTTCCAGTGATCACTCTAGGGCTGGAGATTGGTCTACCATGGCAACTAGGTCCAATGTTTTCGATTATCAATGTAATGTGATTGGTTATATGACAATGATGATGCTTGGCATGGCACCCTGACTTCTAAGTTTATTATTATGATTTTTATTTAATTGGAAATTTGAGTATCCTAAAGTACTAGGAGAGGACACGGTTCGTGTGGATGTGAGAGTAATCCTTGTTCAAACAACGTGTAGTCCATTTTGCTGTTGAAATCTGTCTAGTGTTCCTTTGATACTTTGTTGTTTATTCCAGACCATGTTATTACTCCATACTATGTTGTTTATCAGTTCTATGTATGATGTGTTGGTTTGGTAGTTGCTTTGATATGAACTACATACAAAAGTTAGCTCATAAGATTCTTATTAGTAATGAAACTAATGCGGGACCTATTATCCCGCCCCCTTGAGCTTGCCCTTTACTTGTTGCCTTTAGGCGGCGATATGTGCTGTTGTCTCTTAGGGTGTTTTGTAGAAAATGTTTGATAAATTATTTGTTAGCTGATTATATATCAAATGACTTTTTTAAAAAGCTGTTTTGAATAGCTTTTTGAATTTGAGTATTTTAGAACAATAATCTATTATAAAAGTTATTATTATTTTTTTTATGTTATTGACTCTATTACATTGTATTATCTGTTCAAACATAATTTCTAAACATAATTTCTCAATCTAATGAAACACACAGAACTAACGCCTCTACTGAGACTTGATTTCATGACCTCTCACATGAGAGAGATCACTACATGTCATCTGAGCACAACTATAAAAGTTAATTAATCAATTAAATAAACTACAACTATAAAAGTTAATTAATCAATTAAATAAACTAACTATTACCAAATAGGGCAACAAAAATAATTGAATATATCATATGGGAGAGTGAATATGCTATGAGTGTGGTTCATTCATTTCTTGAATATGGTTTGTTCAATCTTTCATCTTTGCATCGCCTTTGATCTCCAACCATTGAAGCAAAGACATGAAGCAAACCATCCAAGCCCTCCAAATCTTCTTCCCCTACAGCCTTGAGTGCATACACAATGCTTTCAATGGTAGACAGGCATCCCTGTTTTGGTTGAAGCCTCACTTCACCATACAAGCTCAGCCTATCCTCCATGTCCAATTTCAGATGAGGCAAAAGCTTCAACCATGGATTCTCCTTGTACATTCTCTTCGCCTTAGCCCACGTCCCATCCAACACAATCAAATTCTTCACCTCAAAATCTAGACCTTCAACTCCACCTGATTTTTCACTGGGAAAAAGCAGCACAGATCCTTCAGGAACTGCAATTTCAAACTCTTCTTTCTCCTCTTCAAACTCGACCCTCTTTCTCTGCAGCTTTTTCACCACAAACCCTTTCCCCAAATCACTCACAGCTTCTCTACACCCCAACAGCTGATCAAAATCCCATCTTGCCACTCCATTTTTCACCTTCCAAGAATCTTGGAAACATGCTATTCTTCCCTGCTTCTCAACTGTAAAAACAACAGCCTTTTCAGCATTCCTATTGAAAATCTTACTTTTACTGGGCTTCAAATCAACACTGCAATCACACTGTCTTTGTTTCAATATCCCACCATTTTCATCCAAATTAGCAACACCCATTTCAGGGTTTGGGTTAAGTAAGCGGATAGAGAACTCGGCTTGGGAATTGACATCAGAAACTGGGATTACGCTGAGATTCTCGAGGGCAATTGATGCTATTCTTGTGGAATTCAGCGGGTGCTTCTTCTCTAGACTGTGCTGAAGAATCGTGATGGCCACGGAGTTGTGGAGCCTCGGGGTCTTGAGGCGGGTGCAGAGGCAGAGACGGGTGGGCTTTGAGCATGATGGGCACATGGGTCTCTTGGTAGAACCCGAGTGCGTCGCCATTTCTAGGGTTAGGGTTTGAAAAAGATTTGATTTTTGAGGTCTTAAAGGATTGATGAGAGAATAAAACTGAAGCTGCCACGCTTTGGGTATTGGCCTGACCCGTGTCACGCATTGGGCTTGCATTGAATCAAGATCCAATTCTTGAAGAAATCAATGAAGGAGATGAAAGCAGGAAAATTTATGGAGATTTGAAGTTGTGGCGCCCACAAGCACTGCAGAGCAGTAGACTTGCTTTACCACAATTGATAATATAAATATATAGAAAATGATTTGTTCTTGACAAATTATTGTGTGGACCACGGTCTAATATTATGAGTAACAATAATGTACATTACGTATTTGAATAATGAAACATCTGAAATAATATAATGTACATTATGTATTTATTTTCTTCACTTTTCTCTCTTTAATAAGCCTACAAGTGCAACTGAAGGAATTATCTCTTCTGAACCGGAACAAGAAAGAGCTGATAACCACGGCAGGTGAGCAGCTCTCCTCAAATATTGTTCTTACCAGAGAAAAAATCTCTAAAAATTCATTTCCCTCATTTGTTTAAAAATCGCTTCATTAGTTTTTTATCTGTAAAAATTATCAAAAAAACTTTTAATGGAGTTGTCGTCAAACCCACAATCTTTGCCATAGTATTGTATGTGGGAGGATTATACAAAAATTGGAGTTGACCTGGTGCACAATTTCGGGTAGTGCTTATTGATTTGGTTTGGTTACTTTATTGAGATTTTAGAACTAGACAAGAGAAAGATCCCAAGTAGAAAATTAAAGGCTTAACTTGGAAATAGAATAAGTATCCTACCAACTAGCTTAGTATGTATCACCATCATCATACTAATCATCAAGTACAAATCTCTTTGTATTTATATGAAAATCAGCCATATTTTATCACCTTCTGGAGGAGAGTATAATCTATTTTGTAATTTGTATTGTAGCTTAACAAGGAGACACATAAAAAAGTTTAGAAAGCAATCACTGGGAATATAAAGAAGTTTTAAGATCAGATACCCTGCAGAAAGAAACAAGAATCACCTTAGCATATAATCTTTAATCTGCAGAAGAAATCCTTACACCTACCTTTCTTCATGATGCATATTTTCTTCTATTCTCTCTTGTTGCTTCTGCCTGTTTCCATTCTCCTAGTGAGGAGAAGGAGATCAGGGAAGAGGCTTCCACCGGGAACACTCGGGCTACCAGTAATAGGCCAAAGCCTTCAACTTCTGAGGGCGATGAGAGCCAACACTGCTGAAAAATGGCTCGAGGAGAGAGTGAAAAAACACGGTCCTATCTCGAAGTTAAGCCTGTTTGGGAAGCCCACAGTTTTCATCTATGGACAGGCTGCAAACAAGTTTGTTTTCAGTAGTGATAGCAGCGTGCTTACTAATCATCAAACGCAATCGGTGAGGCAGATCTTGGGGGAGCGCTGCCTGTTGGAACTCTGTGGCGAAGATCATAAGCGTGTTAGGGATGCTCTCGTGTCATTCTTGAAACCAGAAAGTCTGAAGCTTTATGTTGGCAAGATGGAAGATGAAGTTAACAGGCACCTTCAGATGCACTGGAAAGACAAGGATATGGTCAAGGTAATTTATGCAAATAAACAGAAGATCCAATCAATTTTGTTATTTTTTTTTTTCAAGCTACTAGCTTATTTTATGAACATTACCAAACAAAGTTGATAGCTTATTAGTAGCTTAAAATAAGCTATAAGCTCCTGAATAAGCTATGCCAAAAAGAGCCAAAAACTGGTCACTGATGCAGCTAATATCTTAAATGGTAGCCAGGTCTTACCTCTGATGAAGACACTGACATTCAACATAATTTGCTCACTTCTTTTTGGGCTCGAGACGGGTGCGAGGAGGGACCAATTCATCTGTTATTTCCAACAGATGATTGCAGGAATGTGGTCAATCCCTATTAACTTGCCATTCACACGCTTCAATGGAAGCCTCAACGCTAGTGCAAAAGTAAGGAAGATGTTGAAAGAGCTTATACAAGAGAAGCGGTTCAAGCTTGAGCAAAATGGAGCTTCATCCAGTCAAGATCTCATCACCTGTTTGCTCAGTGTCAGAGGAGAAGACAATGAAGAATTGATATCTGAAGATGAAATCATTCATAATGTTATGCTAATCATGGTTGCAGGCCATGACACTTCCTCTGTGTTGATTACCTTTATAGTCAGACTTCTGGCCAATAACCCATCCATATATGAAGCTGTTCTCAAAGGTAACAATGCTTTGAGTTTCGCCCGTTAGTTCAGTGTTTAGTCCATCCTTTTCTGAAGTTTCGGTTTCTACCAATTTTGCAGAACAAGAAGAGGTTGCTCTGAGCATGTCATCTGAGGGACTCCTCACATGGGAAGACCTATCGAAGATGAAGTTCACGTGGCGAGTGGCAATGGAGACAATGAGAATATTTCCACCTATATTTGGAGGCTTTAGGCAGACTGCAAAGGATATTGAGTATGGTGGCTACCTAATCCCAAAAGGATGGCAAGTAAGACAACATTATATTACCTCTAATGCTGCTAACCATTTCTTCTGTTTTGCTCACAAAAACATTGAATCTTTACTTCTCTCCCTTGACAAACTAGATATTCTGGGTTATGGCCATGACACATATGGACAGCAGCACATTCCCAGAACCAGAGAAGTTTGATCCATCACGGTTTGAAAACCAAGCGGCCTTGCCTCCTTACTGCTTCATCCCATTCGGAGGGGGACCTCGGATATGCCCGGGTTATGAGTTTGCAAAGATTGAAACTCTGGTCACAATTCATCGCCTCGTAACGCATTTCACATGGAAGTTATGCTGCAAAGATGATTCCTTCATTAGGGATCCCATGCCTGCACCTACTCAAGGCCTTCCTATTCAACTAATTCCCAAGAAGCCATTGTAACATTCAATACAGTTATCTTATTTTCTTATTTTTTCATTAGAATTCAATTTCATTATCAATTTGCCCCAAATAGGATTTGTTTATTTCAATCTGTTATAGATCCGGTATAGAGAATGTCGTTCTTTTTTTCCCCCTCCTTGAAAGAAAGACCAATTTATTTTTTGATCTCTCCATGAATCGTATGTTTGTAACAATAGGGACAGAATTTTTTCAATTCTAATGGATTAGGCGTATTGTGCCGGTTCTTTTGAGTAATATATCTGGAAATGCCCGTTGATACCTTATTAACACCGTTTCGGACACAACTGGTACATTCCAAAATCACCGCCACTCGTACATCTTTACTCTTGGCCATGAACCTCCTTTATATTTTTGATTGACTCAACTCTTCTATTTTCAATTCAAAACAAAGAAAGGAAAAAATAGAAGTTACTAAATAAATTGAAAATGAATTTCAATTTGTAAATGAAATTCGAAATGAAAGAAATAAAAAAGGAACACAACGATTTCTAAACTAGATTTCAAATTGAAGTAATTTCAGTATATTGGATAAGACTCCCGTCCTAGATCTTCATTTTCGATTCTATCCACACCCCTCTAGTAACAACTGTTTTCAGTGGTCAACAGTAAAGGAAATATGATAAAAGCTGCGTTTCAATGGAGAAGGGCAGCCATAGCTGACCTGAACTTGTACTTGCATACACAATCTGATCTTTGGTCAAAGCCTGTACTTTGTGCTGTTCTGCTGCATTGTCTATGTGAGATCAAATATAAGTTAAAACCCAGTGCACATCCTCGGGGGTAGTGGTTGAGAGTTTCTCTCGTCACTCAGAAATATAAGTTATTAAGGAGTAGTATACCTGCTTGATTCTGCCACTGTTCTTACTCCAACTAGAGAACAGGACACATCATCAACAATACAGGGAAGGTGTAAAATGTCTTTTGCTTACATGAAATATATAATACATATTAATTAGTATGAAAATCAAATAACAAATCAGAGTGGCGCAGCGGAAGCGTGGTGGGCCCATAACCCACAGGTCCCAGGATCGAAACCTGGCTCTGATATGACATTCAGAAAGCTTCCAACTATCCATCTTTTTCACCCCATATCCTAACAATCTTTAGAATACTTGAAATTATAATTAAGAAATAAAAGTTTAACAAAAGATTCCTCATTTTTTGAATTCCAGTAAATATCTATTGGCCAATATTCTGTAGAATCTTGACCTACATCTACTGCATCAAAATTGTCAGAGCATTGCTCCAAAGGACACAAAATAAGAATCAAATGAGAATTGAATTTCAAATTTCCAGTATCTAATCTTCTATGTGGTTAAAGAAAACCAAGAAATCTGATCTGGCTATGTCTGTGGTTCTATGAACTATGCTGATATCCCTGTGGCTTCCTTGGGGATCAAAGACAGAAAAGCAACAGGAATGAATGTGCAGATGACTTGAATACCAATGCCAAGAGGAAGGTTGTCAAAGGATCCCGAAGAGATGTTAAGAGCAGAAGCCAGCCCAGCTCCTACAAAGGATCCTACTGTAGAACCCAAGTTGTTTATTGACATGAAAAGGGCAAACAATGTCCCTTCAATTCCCGGAGGGCATAACTGTCCTGATAAGATGAGAAATGGCATAAACCTGCAAAGTGAAACTCCATAAATATTTGACAGAACAAAGACACCAATTGGTGGCCAAAGCATTTTCCGCTTTTCACACAAGTAATATTTCTATTTCAGCTGTTATATAACATTGTTCTGATATTTGATTCTTGTGCTAAAACCTTAACTACGACTCTAAGAGAGAATCGAACATACTTGAATTGATTTATGCCATCTGCAAGAGCAGACCCGTACAGCACCATACCCCTATCTGATATGCCTAATGACACATTTGTCCGGGTCACCAACACCAGATCTAGAGCACTCAAAATGGCCAAACCAATATGAGCCCACCTACACAAATTCATAAAATAAATTATTTCGTTTTTAAAGTTAAAATCATCTCATAGCCAAATAGACCAGCCAAATTTCCACTTACATGAGAATTTTTCGCAACCTCATATTCTTCATGTATTGATTGTATATGAAGGTTCCAAGCATGAGTCCCAACCAACCAAGAACACGTGCTGTGCCTAAGAAGGATGCCTCCAAGTTTAAGATCTCCGTCTGGTAGTAGAACATGACTGTTGAGAGGTTTGGGACAGTCACATGAGCTAAAAAGAACCAAGCCATTGGTCTGGGTTCCCACAAAAGAGTTTGCACAGGACAAAAAGCTTAGTAAGATCAAGGAACTAATAAGTGAATAAACAAGCTATGAAGCAAAGGTATTGGCGAAGCAAATTAGTATTGTAGATATGAAGTGTAAAAAGAACAAACAACATCTTCACATTTTGGGTTAATTTCATAATCTCATCAAATCAGGTACTATTATTATATTGTACATTATCATGTAATGTTGTAATACTCATACTGGGAAATGAGAGAAGCTCCAATGGGCAAGTATTTCACAACTAAAAAGGCATCAACCAATGAAGGGACCAAGAAGATTTTCCAGAAGTTACCTTAGAATGATTGGCTGCCGGAAAGCTTTAAATAGAGCATAGCTTGCCGATTTCAGAGATTGAAACAAGCTTGGTGTTGATGATCCATCTTTATCTAGAACCTGAAGGTCACCTGATTTGATTGCTCTATTGTTGGTATCCTTTTGGCCCTTTTTTCTCCTTGATGCACCACCAACTTTGGACTTCCCATTAGAGAAATTACTATCCATGTCGAAGTTTTCAATTGTCAAGTGAGTGCCATTTGAAGCAGAAACTTTCGAAAAGGCTTTACCAACTGTAGAGCCCTCCTCCACAAAATGACAAGAAGCGAGCTGCAATGCTGGTAACACGGAAAAAATAAGAAAAATTTCATCCATCCTCAGATTGCTCAATGCATAACCACCTAGCAAACTCCCACAGATTCCTCCCAAAGCCATTGCCATCCAAGATATTGATTGAAGATCACCAGCAAATAAGGCCCTGTTCATGAGCAACCATAAGATCTAATTCATGCGCCTTCAAAATGAGAGAACTTTGGAAAAACTGAAAACATACCGCTCTAATCTTACAGCCTCAGCTATCATCGCATCAATTACCACATCTGCCATGGCAGAGCCCAGATTTTGCACTGTTAGGAGAACCATTAGCTGCACCTTAGAAGTCCTAAGAAATTCACTGGTGCCTAAAAGAAGCCATGGAAAGAATGAGAACAAAGTGGCCAGTATTAAGTAGGGAATTCTTTTTCTTCCTTTGATGGGGATGCAATCAGATACAATCCTGCATAGATAACAACTTAAGTTTTAATAGCTTGCAAACGTGATAGAGTACTAACTTCCCATAAAACAAAGTTCATAGAAAACAAATTATATTCATCTAGTACCAGTGTACCACTAAAAAATATTAAATCATTTGTTAAAGCAAGCAATTTGAACAGCGCATTACTGTACAAGACCATCATATGGTATAAGTTCAAAATCTGCCATTTTCGCCTTTGAAGAATAAAAAGGGTGTTTTAAACATCAGATGAAGAGTATTTGATTAGCTTTTCTCCTATTTAAACCATCTTTGACATATTGCTTATATAACTTTCTGAATGCCCAAATGGTTGTAACATCGTGAAACTCATGAATCATAATTAAACTTGCATAACAGATACATACCCGTATAGAGGTTTCACACTCCATGGAAAGAATGCTATTGAAGAGACAAACTGGGAGGCGGAAGGTGATAACTTCAGCTCATCTTTCAGCTGATATGAAACTGCAGTCCATACAAAAGATCTAAAACCCTGCTCCCAAAAGCCGTGATGTAATAAGCCATAATGACTAGAAATCAAGTATATGCTGGTTAACCTAACAGTCTGAAGTAGTCTTAATGTTCAATTAACTATGCTAATAAATTATAGTTGATCCTGATTCCTGATAGCCCGAGAGCAGAAAATTGCTCGATCAGGGACATGGATCACCATTTTTTCAGCTAAATCAGAGCTTTGCAGCATGGGTATTAGCCAGCAATGACAGAAATTCGAAACAAGACAAAAACCTAATAGGGTTAAGACCATTTCCAACAGGCAAGAGTTAAGATTTGAGAAACGAACCTGAGTGAAGTAAATTAAGCAAACGAGCCAGAGAAAAGAAGCCCCAAAAGCGCCCCGCAACTGTTTGCACCAACCGATCATTTTACCGGATCCAATAGCCCGATTACCCGAATGACACGGCTCTCAATCTCCGCTGTTCTCGTTTTTGTCGGAAAAAAAAATAACTTTTTTTCCCCTAGTTTTGGGATTTGAGGTTCGTCGTCTACATGAATTTAGGGATTGAGAAAATTGGATTGCTTCTTCAGGGCATTTAGTATTGCATTTCGTACCTGCATTACTTGCCTTCATTCCAACGGTTTCTGGTCTGGCCTTATTGCGCCATCTGAATGTCCTAACCGTATGAAGATGAATGAGTTGACTTTGACCTTACTACCTTTACTTTTCATAATTGATTTTTTTTTTTTTTTAATTCGTGGGGTGGTGATAATTGATACGGAGTATTTATTTTGTTTGATAAATACTTGAAGTTTGGATGTTAATCTTTGATTTGCGGAAAAACATGCAGCCATAATTCAAAAATACATTATGAGTGGAAGTTGTTCTTAATGACAAAGGACCAATGTAAATTGGGGTATGTTAATTAAAGAAAATTTGTACTATTCGTATCTAAGTTATAGGGTAATTAAAAAAATTGTCACGAAGTGTCAGTCATAATCAATTTTCATCCCTAAATTATTATTGATGGTGTACTTTTCGTTTTTTTATTAATAAAACATTAGGGACGAACTTTTTCAATTTTAGTATAACTTAGTGACTAAAAGTGAGCACGAAAAGATAAAAAGTGCAACGTGTTAACTTCAGAACAAAAAGTAATTATGATTAACACTTAGAACAAATTCTACCATTATCCAATAACTGAAAGACAAACAAGTATAATTTTCATCTAATGTGACTTTCACATACAACCGTTATATATATTTGTTTGTTTATTAAAATATAATTAGAACAAATAGGGATGAATAATAAAGAGGAAAACATAACATATTTTGTAATCAATGTTTCAGACAATATAATATCTTCTCTCAAATACCACATACGAAACCAATGAACTAAATCCGTACGAGTTATAGACAAATCTTATCACCTTGTGACAAATAGTCAATCATGATTTTATTGTTAAATAACGATAAACTATTACAATCACTATTAATATATGCACTAGGTAAACTTCATATATATCTAATAACTCATAAATTCCATTAGAAAAATTAACATCCTTGTTTGTTAAAGTATTTTTTTAAGTGTCATTCTTAAAAATACAGTGTGAAAAACAAGATCTTATTGTAAATTATTATTGATTGATTGATTTACTAAATTGATTAATTATTATATTTTAGGAAAAAGTCAAATAGGCCCCTGAACATTACTCAATAAGTCAATTAGGCTTTTGAACTTTCAAAATGTACAATTAAGCCATTAAACATATTGTTTTAGGTCAATGAGGCCCAAAAACCGGTTGATGACCTACAATTATAGATCAAAAAGATTCCGGCGAGATTCCAACAACATTTCGACAAAAAAATCGGCGAAACATTCGCCCGTGTCATTTGGCAGCCATCTTCGGCGAAGGAGAAGGCAGACCAACTGCTTTGGTCAGCCTTCTCCCGTGAAGGAGAAGGTTGACCAACTGCTTTGGTCAGCCTTCTCCCGTGAAGGAGAAGGTTTGGGTTGCCTTCTCTCTCGCCGGAGATGGCAGTCAAATGACGCCGGTGAATGTTTCGTCGATTTTGTTGTCGGAATCTCGCCGGAATATTTTTGACTTATAATTATAGGTTACAAATCGATTTTTGAGTCTCATTGACCTAAAATAATATGTTTAAGGGCTTAATTACACCTTTTGAAAATTCAAGAGCCTAATTAACTTATGAGTAATGTTCAGGGGCCTATTTGACCATTTTCAGTTATATTTTGGATAGGACAACATTTTGGCTCCAAAATTTCGAACCCAACCCCCGGTGGCGCCCATTTGGCCTGTAACATCCTCTTGAAGTCTTGAGCCGTGGCGCCGTCTCTCTCTATCTTTCAAATTTCATAGTTTAATTTTCTGGGGAAATGGAGGAAGGAAAACGGCCAACTCTCATAAACGAAAACAAGAACCAGAACATAGTATTTGTGAAAGATAAGAATTCCCTGTGGACAAGAAGAACAGCAAGATTCTTAAACCCATGTACCCAGGATGTTAGCGAAGCAGCAGCGCGGGTTCCGAATGCTTCTCCGATATCTAAAAGTTTCGAGAAAGATGACCGGAAATGGCCTCCAATGGCCTAGCGGAAATCAAACCTCTGTGATATCAGTATGTCCTGCACTTAATGTCTGTGTTTTTGTTTCTTGTTGTTACAAGATCTTGACACGTGTTGGTTATCCAATTCTTGAATTCAAGGATTGTTAAACTGTAAAAACTAGCTTTCATTTTGCTAATTGAGAGTGGCAAGGTTGGCTCAGACAATGATCTGGGGTGATCCTCATTTTTAGGATTTCATAAAATCTCCAATTTTTTTTTTTTTTTTTTTTTTTGATTAATGTAAATTTGACCATGTCAAAGGTGAATCCGGAATTTGTGTGTCGGAAGGAAAAACAAAAATTCTGGGAAACACTTCCCCATCTGTTACTTGGGATATCAGGAAAAAAAACACAGGTTTTCCCAGCACTAAGGTGTTGGTGAATATTGGCAGGAAACTGAAATTGCAGTGATGTTCTTATTGTGGCAATGTTGTCGGAGATCAATTGCCAACAATAAGGATATCACCCTGGATATTTCAAGGATTTAAATGAGTTTGGGATCTGGATATGCCTGGGTTAACATAGCGGCGGGAAGGGGAAGAAGATGAACTGCTTTTCGTGTTGTATGCCCAGGGAAGGGGGTGGTGAGAGAAATTCAATGAAGAAGAGCTATGGAGAAAACAAGTTCTCATCATTTGCCAACATTTCTATGAAATCTGGTAATTGGATCTGCCCTTATTAATATCTAGTATGGTTTAGATTTGCATAAATGTATGGCGTTTTTCGAACGATTGTGCAGATAGTAGCAGGAAGAGATACATAGATGAAGAGATTGGGAAATTTGGAAAAGATCATGTTTCTGCTCATGCTTTTACATACCAAGAACTCACTGATGCAACTCAGAACTTCAACCTCGAATCTTTGCTTGGCGAAGGCGGTTTTGGGAGGGTCTACAAAGGCCATCTCGAGAGCAGAAACAAAGTTGTGTCACTTTCCTTTTGTTGTTTTAACATTAACAGACAAGCACTAACTGCCTGGATTTTGATGTCTTTCAGGATGTTGCTGTCAAAAAACTAGACAGGAATGGCCTTCAGGGCAACCACGAGTTCCTCGTGGAGGTTCTGTTGTTGAGCCTTCTTCACCACCCTAACCTCGTGAACTTGGAAGGGTATTGCTGTGATGGCGAGCATCGAATATTAGTATACGAGTTCATGTCGAAAGGCACCCTGGAAGATCATCTTCTTGGTACTTATTCTATACTTCATTTGCAGGTTTAGTGTTGTTGAGCATATAATATAACATAAACATAAATGTGCAATCCAACTATCAGCTTAGGTTTTTAGTTAAGATGGAGTACATGCTTATGAAGTTTTTGTGTTTTTTTGCACTTGTTAGACCTAAAACCAAATATTGAGCCACTAGATTGGTTAACAAGGATGAAGATTGCTCAGGGAACAGCGAAAGGGCTCGAGTATTTGCACGAAACATCTAACCCCCCAGTGATCTACCGCGACTTTAAGGCATCCAACATACTTCTAGACGAAAACTTCGACACCAAACTCTCTGATTTTGGGCTAGCTAAGTTAGGTCCAACGGGTGACCAGTCTCATATCACCACCAGGGTGATGGGAACCTATGGGTATTGCGCGCCCGAGTACGCGAGCACTGGCCAGCTTACCACAAAATCTGATGTGTACAGCTTCGGGGTCGTGTTTCTGGAGTTGATAACCGGGAAACGAGTGATTGACAACTCGAGGCCCAGCGAGGAACAGAACTTGGTCTTGTGGGCACAGCCATTGTTCAAAGACAAAAGCAAGTTTCACTTGATGGCAGATCCACTGCTGGGAGGGAAGTATTCACCCAAGGGACTACACCAGGCCCTCGCCATCGCGGCAATGTGCCTGCAAGAGGAGGCAGAAACGCGGCCTTACATGAGCGACGTCGTGTCTGCTCTGCACTTCCTCTGCAGGCCCGATGGAGGCGAAGGCGGTGCACCACCCGAGGGCAGTTGAGACTACTGGCCAATGATGTTACACACACACATACTAAGAGCTCCAATTCTTGTCATCGACTTCTTGATTTTGTGGTCGAGTCGATTTTCTGGTCAGACCACGAGGTGTCATTCTGTTTTTTGTGATTGAGGTTTTTTGCAAACTTGTTATCTCATATAAGTTAGAGTTTACAAGATCAGAAGAGGTATACTTGGCTATGACTAGCAGGTTATATAGGCCAAACCAATCTAGCCACACTTCAAGAACCATACAAGTTTCAAGAATCAACAACTTAATGGAGGTTGGAACTTTTTTTTTGAAAAACCGAAAGAGCATATATTACGCAAACATATTGTTCTTACAGACGAAAGCAGAAAGATAACGAGGAATAGACTCAAAAGACTCTACCATCCCATCCCATCCCCGGATTACATAAAGCCTTCTTAGCTAAGGTATGGGCCAGCATATTTCCGGCCATTTTTGCTGCACAAAACATAATGCAATCCTTATATCCTGCACCACGGCGCACATAGTACTGTGCGTTCCACGCCTCCCAAAATAACGTTGTTTTGTTAAGTTGTGTAGGAAGTTGACACGATTATGTACATTATGGTATACAATTATGTACCATATTTTTTTATACATTTATGTACATTTTTTATACAATTATGTACTTTTTTTTAATACAATTATGTACATCCGAAACAGGAAATTTATGTGTATCATGTTAAGAGTTGTGTATTATCTTTTTCAAAAAAAGTATGTGTGTTTTGTTATAAAATTATGTATATTTTGTTATACAATTATGTATATTCTGTTATACAATTATGTACATTTTTGAAACATGAAATTTTTTTAAAGAAAATTAAAAGTCGATACAGAAAATCGAAATTCTAAAAAAAAAAAAATCTAAAACAATATCGTTTTGCACCAGGGCGCATAATGTAATGGGCGCCTAGGGCACGATATAAATTGCCAACATAATGGAGGTTGGAACTTAGAAACCTTAGTAAAAAAATTGGAGTCCATCATTAGACAAAACATATACACTAAATCACTAATACACAATATAATAGTCCACACGATATAATGATGTGTTACTAAATTCTCCGTATTATATTACCCAAAAACACTTGGGGATGTTCATGACCCAAAACAAGAATGCATCCAAACCTCTTTTTCTAAAGAGTTATATTGAATTTTCAAATCTTATTCCCTTAATTTTACTCATGATGTGACGAGTTCTGATAAACTATTCATTTTATGTGGATCTCAATACAAGTGTCTACGGGCTCTGATAAACTAATTTTTTTTGCGGGTCCCAATACAAATGTCTAAATCAAGATTTTGTGTGTGGGAGTAAAAGTTAAAAGTATAAAATTAAATACACCGTGATCGAGAGAATTACCTTTTTTACGATTCTAATGACATATCGTAATCGTATGGTCATCTCGTGCCACTAGACCACAGGATCATTGACATTATTTCTATATTTATATTCATAAAAATGAAAAATGACACTATGATTTTAATTTTATTTTTAAAAAAAATTCCAGGGTGGAAAAACAGCCACGTCAGACGGCGAACCCGCCAGTTTGGCATGTATACGTTCTTTATTGTCCTCCAATGACTAAAATCCACAGTATACTTTAGCTCGCATTCCAAACATGGCCTTCTCTGCCGCCACCACGAAAACGTCAGCCCCATTGCTCCCAAAGCCGACCGGTGCCGCCGCCTCCGCCTCCTCCTCCTCCTTGCGCCACCTACCTCTGAAACTGAACAAATTCACGACGCGCCCAGCCAAGGCACCTGCGGTTTTCTGCACTCTCACCGCAGGATCTCTAAAGCAGCAAATGGAGGCTCGGGAGGCGTCTGAACTGACTTTCCTTCAACGCCCCGATTCGTTCGGCCGGTTCGGCAAGTTCGGCGGGAAGTATGTCCCCGAAACGCTAATGTACGCTCTCGATGAGCTCGAGACCGCGTTCAAGGCCATCTCCGTCGATGACGCTTTTCAGGTTTTCATTTCTTTTACAGTTATTAATAGGGAAATCGGATTTTGATTCTTCTCATTTTGTCTTGTTAGGAAATTGCGTTTTTTAGGCCTCAATTTTACTGTTATTTTTGTTAATCTGTTTGCCTTTTGAAGAAATTGATTCTGGAATTTAGGTGTGTGTCTTAAAAAATTGATATGTTAGCGATTTCAAATTGCTGATTGAATTAAGTGATTAACTGCAGAAAGAGCTGGATGGAATCTTGCGTGACTATGTTGGGAGAGAGAGCCCTCTGTATTTTGCAGAACGGCTTACTGAGCACTATAAGCGACCTAATGGTGAAGGACCACTCATCTACCTCAAGAGGGAAGATCTGAACCACACTGGGGCACACAAAATCAATAATGCTGTTGCTCAAGCCTTGCTTGCAAAGCGGTTGGGCAAGAAACGCATTATAGCTGAGACAGGAGCTGGTCAGCATGGTGTTGCCACTGCAACTGTTTGTGCTCGCTTTGGCTTAGAATGTGTAATCTATATGGGTGCTCAGGATATGGAGAGACAAGCACTAAATGTCTTCAGGATGCGACTTCTTGGTGCTGAGGTTTGTTTCTGTCACTATGCTTTGGTTTTGGCTATTCTTATAGGTGAATGCATAGATTGAGAATTTAGTGAAGAGTTTTTTGTAATTAGGTGAATGCATAGATTGGGAATTTACCTTTAACTTTTCTGCTGTCATGGGTGCTGAGCTATGGTGAAAAAAGTTGTCTTTGCTGTTTGTGTTTGCGTTCTTAAAGAAAAATTTCATGTTTGATTTCAGGTTTTTATATGTTGAAATTACTATTTTTCCCCTACTATATGTGACTTTCTTTTGATGATAATGGTAAATTGACGTCAATTTCATATCTGCTGGTGCAGGTTAGACCAGTCCATTCTGGAACAGCCACACTCAAGGATGCTACATCAGAAGCTATTCGGGATTGGGTTACCAATGTTGAAACAACTCATTACATCCTGGGATCTGTTGCCGGGCCGCACCCATATCCCATGATGGTTAGAGACTTTCATGCAGTGATTGGCAAAGAAACAAGAAGGCAAGCATTGGAAAAATGGGGTGGGAAGCCCGATGTGCTTGTTGCATGTGTTGGTGGAGGTTCTAATGCTATGGGACTATTTCATGAGTTTATTGATGATGAAGATGTGAGGTTGATTGGCGTGGAGGCTGCCGGTTTTGGTTTAGATAGTGGCAAACACGCTGCTACTTTAACAAAGGGAGAGGTTGGAGTGCTACATGGAGCTATGAGCTATCTGCTTCAGGATGATGATGGGCAGATAGTTGAGCCACATTCCATTAGTGCTGGGTAACAAGTCTAAGCACTTGCTTCACTAACTAATTTGAAACTTTCCCATCTTGACAGTTTTCTCCCTCGTGTATTATTAGGTTGGATTATCCTGGAGTTGGACCCGAGCATAGCTTTCTGAAAGACCTTGGACGAGCTGAATACTATAGCATCACTGATGAAGAGGCTTTAGAAGGTAACCAACATTTACCAATTACCAAACTCATTGCCACCAGTATTCCATTTGGCGGCATTTGCAGCATGACTAGTTCTTTTGCTTACATACACTATACATGTATATGCAGCATTCAAGAGATTATCTCGGCTAGAAGGCATTATTCCTGCATTGGAGACATCACATGCGTTGGCTTATCTAGAGAAACTGTGCCCAACTCTGCCAGATGGCACTAAGGTTGTACTTAACTGCAGTGGCAGAGGAGATAAGGATGTTCACACTGCTATCAAATACTTGGAGGTTTGATCGATGGCGCTTTTTGTTGTTAGACAGGGCTGCATGTGGTTGTGAAAACAAATTTTGTTTCTTGAACAATTCATATAGAGCATGATCTGATAATATTTGCATCAACAAAATGTTTCTTATAAGGCAGCAGACTTGCATGAACTTTCATTTAGTTGCAAAGTCTTTTTATTCCCATGATACATAACTTTCATAATCATTATCTGGATTCAGCATGGTCTTGCTCTGTAAAGTTTGACTATTACTCGGGGGAAAAGGACAGACGAATATTTTGAAGTAACGAATATGATGCAACAAGACACCAACTATATTACACAATGACTGTAAAATGATGTCCATATCTATCTATCTATCTATTTCAGGTATTTGGTCAGTTTTGATATCTTCCAGAATGCTTTTCAGACTGATCTATCAAGGGAATACATTGAAATATGACAGATATAAGCTTCATGGTGTTTCTGATGCTAAATGTCAAAGGGCAGATCTCACCCAGAGACATGTATGACACCTGATTGTAAAGGTGATAGAACACACCCTGGCCTACCATCCACCTATGTAATAAACCAATTCCCAATCAGAGTACATCACTAATTGAAAACGTGGTGATTATGCTGCTATATAGAGTTAATACCATCCGGGATCCTGTGAGCAATAGTAGTTTTATCATGTTTAGTTCTAAATTTTCAAATTGACCACCCGTGATCATTTGACGTTCAAATTGTTATCATCCGTAGTCCAAGTTAACCATTCATGGTTCTTCAACTATTAAATTTTAACATGGTCCTTATAGGAGGGTCAGTGCCGGTTAAATTTTAAAAGTTGGACCATGAGTGGTTACTTGGACCACGGATGGTAACAATTTGAAAGTCAAAGGACCACAAGTGATCAATTTAAAAGTTCAGGACTAAACATGGTAAAATCACTATATTCGAAAGACCCCGGACAATATTAACTCCTGCTATATATGTAGAGTAAAAGAGTTCATAAGTCCATCATATCAAGTCTTAGAACATCACAAAGAACCAAAGGAGTATAGAATTGCTCCATACAATTTGACATGGAAATAGAATCACTTTTAGTGCTTGAGTTTTCTTCAAGTGAAACTTTTAGTCCCCCCAATTAATTTCACTTTTGAGATGGAAATACACAGGCCCACCATTATGAAATTGGGCCAAAAGGCCCTTGAAACAAACCAAAGAGCCCATGAAAAGGCCCAATGGGTTTACAGTGGCCCAGTTACAGCTCGAAATTAACTCATCAAGCAGACACAATAGCCCAAGTATTTATCCCATAAACCAAACGAGAGTACCAAATGATGGCAAATTATGCTATGGACCCGGTCCACCGTGTGCATAGTGGACACACTGTACATTCATAATTTCTATAATATAGATTCATAATTTTTATACTGTAGGTTCATAATTTCTAAACTGCAGATCCATAATTTCTATACTGTAGATTCATAATTTCTATACTGCACATTCATAATTTTTGTACTGTATGAATCTACATTATAAATTTTATGAATCTACAGTATAGAAATTATGAATCTACATTATAAATTTTATGAATCTACAGTATAAAAATTATGAATGTACAGCGTGTCCACCATGCACATGATGAACACGGATCCCACAACATAATGCTCCACCAAATGATATGTATTTGCATATTGTGCATAAAAACTTATAGGCCTATTTGGTAAAATAGTTAGTCTATAGGTCAATTTTGGTTTAGTTAATCACTATTAGCTTTTTGACTTGGTTAAAAAATCAATATAAGTGTTTGGTTAATTAGCTTTTTGTAATCCAAAATGCTAAAATTCAAAAGGCAACACAAAACAACTTTTTCAATTAACTTTTTGAGAAAAGAAATTATACCAAATAGTTATCAACTAACATCTAATTTACCAAACACCGTTCTACAACCAGCTAATGTTATCAACTAAGTATACCCTCTAATTAACCAAATCAGCTAACAGCTAACAACTATTTATCAACAGGGCCTATAATGTACAATCAAAGACCTTGTGGTCAAGTGACATGAAGTAATTTTTCCAGATGAAAGGTTATGGATTTGAACCTCATTGAAAGTAGTTAGTATACTAAAAAAAAAAGATGTCTAAATCAAAAATTTGTCCAAGAAAGTAAATTTGAGAGTCTAAATAATATTTTTCTTCGTAAGAACATAGTTTTTGAATTCGTGTAGTACAACATATATCTGATCTGATTGAAATTATTATTCATGTCTTATTCCAGGTCCAAGCTCCACCCAAATCGGAATCACTAAAAAACAAAATAATTCAGGACCATAATTGACCATTTGCTGTCATATTCATGTATGGTATTGGTTTAGCTACAACTGTTGAATTCTCTATCTATATATAATTTGTAAACACCCCCACTTTGTAATTGTTTAGTGTTACTATTGTAAATTCCAACTTGTAATTAATAGAATTATTATGACAAACTGAATAGGTTAAGTTTAGTGTTAACTATTGTATTGAGTTAAATCTGGCAGGCACTATACCAAAGTTTTTGAAAGGTAGTCGTTAGAACTACACCGACTTATCAAAAACAGCTGGCAGTGAGAAGTTACATGGTCTGAGATTATTTTACAAGAAAGTCCTTACCGACTGAAATACCCAAGACTTGGAGTATTATATACTGGTTAGAGATGAAGAATTGAGAAATTACACCTTACAAGAATTAAATCACAAGAAACTTTCTCTACGATCTACAAAGAGAATACTATGATAAGATATCATCTTCTCAAGACATTGTTGATGATCTGAGTTTAAGAAGATACTTGAGAAGAAAGTTCTACAAATTAAAGCTTTATCTTTGGACCGTATACCATACATCTGTGGCGCAGTGGTGGGTGAGTTAGCGAGACGGCAACGACAACGCGGATCTCCAAGAAGAAATTTCTTGGACTGCTGATTGCACAGATCTCCGGCCTTGACAATCCTCTATAGCTTCTTCAGATTGAGTTTTTACCGTGTGAGGTATATCACACATTGGGTTGAGAATGCGTTCTCTTACCGTATGTTTGATTTGCTCATTAATGGTGGTCCCTCATTGTATCGAACTGGATAAAGTATACTCGGTGTCCTTTACTTTCTGTTTGATTTATATTTCACTCTTCCAAAAGGCTGAACCCCAACCATAAAAAAAAAAAAAAAAAAAAAAAAAAAAAAAAAAAAAAGAGGAAGAAAGCCTCAGACATCCAAGGAAGGATCAAAGCATTTATATTTCACATTTAGTGTATCATTGTTGTAATAACTGTTTGAACAAACGAGTTTAGGGTAAGCCATAAGACTAATTCTCAAACAGTTAAGTCAGAAAGATAATTAACCAGAAAAATTTAATATCACATATACACGAAATTACAGTAACAAAAAAAAGATTGCATTTTTAACGATATTTAATACACTTAAACTCTTGAGTTACTCGGATGGCTTCTATTTCCTTCTTCATCAATTCAAACACTCTATTTTTTACTCAAGAGCCTTCATCCCTCTCGTGCATAGTCGATTTTGAATGCATTATATTAACGTGATATTTAATTTTCGACATATACATGACAACCATATATATCTTTGATGTATAAGTTTACAAGAATGTCTCTGTCTGATCTCCGACATCATAACATTAAAACCGGAGGAAGGTTGGCAGTCTTGAAGTCGCTCTAAGTCCATTTCCGGCATCCATTTCTGTGAATATATTGAAACCTTAATACTGTGTTCTCTCTCTTTCAGTCCACTTTTGTTGCCATGCATGGCGGCCTCAAGAACCACAGCTGAAAAGGAAAGAAAAAACATTAAAGATGGAATGAAAGAAACACAACATATATATGCAATTCAAAGGTGACTCATTATCCATGTGCCAATGTTTTTTTTTTTTTTTTTTTTTCTTACAATTGAAATCTTTAGTTAATATTCGATAATGTACACTGGGTAAACTTTATTCATATGTAATATCATACAAATTATACATAAAACTGAAGTAACCTGCACTATAAAAATTATATAACGGGTTTGAGTGAAAGGTTGATCGATGTGCCTATATTGTTGTGTGGCAGATGATGATTGAAACTTGTTAGAGAAAGCTATGTCTCTAATTTGGATTAATATCCTAATTAACTTTAAAACCATTAGTGAATTTATAATTAATGATTGTATCTGCTATTATGAGTGATTTTGTCATACCTCTTGCTTCTCGCCCTCGTCTCCATACCAATGTATAATTTATTGTGTCTACCTCAGCTGCATTATTTTAATTTTACGGGTATACCACTTTTCATTCGGTGCATGAACAATTGACACCATATCTATATTAATGATTGTAAAGATGAGATGATGGGAGTAAAATGTACATCATAGAGATTAATCAAGGATGCATAATATAATTGAATTTTTGTTTTCCCTTAAAAAACAAGTAAATTAAGGATTAGGTACAAGGTATTTGACCATTAATTTTGGGATTAATTATTAATTAACAAAGCATTAAAAGAGTAATTGGGAATCATGTTAGATTTGAAAGCCACCACCCAACACCTTAACAACACAAGTCTTGATTCACTCCTCCCATTCATTGAAAATGAGCCCCATTACTCCACAATATATATATATATATATATATATATATATATATATATATATATATATATTAATAAATGTAAATATTATTTATATATTTTTGTAATTAACTAAATTGAAAAAATATTTTATTTATATAAATAAGAAATGGCGCCGTCTGATAGAAGTCACTCACGTTTTAGTTGTAACATGAAGTGGGTATGTGTCACCTTCTCTTGTCCTCTCACTTTTATGTTTACTTGCAAAATGGAAATGTGAAGACTTAATTAAGGGTGTGTTTGGTTGATAGGTTTAGTTATCAAGAATGAGTATTAAAGTCATTAATATTGTTTGATTGACAGATTTTTAGAACACTACTATTATGGATTTTGATTACCCTCTTAATTAAAAATTTCATTCCCTAATAAAATAACAGGGTGTTTGGTTGGAGAGGGGGAATTACGTGGGAAAGGAATTGCAATTCTATGGGAGATGAATTACCGGGAATAAAGTAGGAATTTAAATTTCAGTGTTTGGTTTACAGGAATAAAATTACTGGGAATTTCAATTCCAATGTTTGGTATACATGAGAATTGAAAGGGAATAAGTAGTATAAAGTAAAAAATATACATTATTGTTTTTAGGCATTAATTTTAGGTTAAAAAGGAAGGGATAATTTTGACTCATCACTAACTTTTTTTTTTTTTTCCTAAAATCCCAGGGGGACATTGGATTTTAATTCCATGAAAATGGGGGAATTACAATTCTATGAAATTGCAATTCCTTTCAACTAAGTAAGAGAATTTTGTGGCCATTGGAATTAGGTGAGAATTAAGTGGGAAGGGAATTTAAATTCCCTTCAACCAAACGCCCTGTAAGTGTTTCATTTCATTATTCCTCCTCATACATAATCAAACAACAATATTGATTATCATCTCATTCCACCCTACTACCAAACATGCAAAATACTTTTACCAAGTATTTGATACACATTCTGATTCCGATTCTCGTGTGCAAACCAAACACACCATAGTTTGGTTGGTGCAACATACCTTTCATCTTTTCAAGTTTAACTTTCTGTTGTCTATTGACCTTCTCAATTTGAGTCGATCAATTATAAATAACTTATATTAATTTACCTTTTTGTGATCTTTTACAAGATAAGATAGTAAATTAAACTTTACCTATAACATATTTTCAAATAATAGTTGCAAACTTTCTTCTAAATCAAAGTATGTAATACCACTAATACATGCCCTTCCACCCACTAGTTTTCTTTATAATAATCAAATGGGTTGGATAGATACCATATATAGAAACCCTAGAAATATAAAGAAAATATATTTTAGCCAAAACATTAATAATGAGAAAATACAAATATTACACTGTTAAAAAGCATTATACATTACACTCACTGACTCACACATGCATTACGATTATTTGAACTTGATGGTGACATATATAGTTTCTCATCTAAATCTTACCTAAGCTAAATAACTTTTCTCTTTTTCTTGAAAAGATATATTAATATGTGAATTCATTGAAAACTACATTGTTATCCTCATCAAGATTCGAGGTTGATGATTAGTTGGTTAAAATGCCTAATATATTGTGTGATTAATAATAGAAATGTGGGTGGGAGAGCATCTCCGATCCAACCCAAAACACCAAATTCTGCACTAAGTTTTACACCAAAAGAAATATTTTCGGCATATTCTTACATTAAATTTTTTTTTTTTTCATTTCCAACTCATTTACACCAAATTTTATTTCTATACTAAAATAATTTATATTCCCATAAATTAAAAGTTTATTTGTATACTTTTATTATTTTAATATAACATATAGTTGTAATTTTATAAATTAAACTTTAATTATGTTTTGTGTAAATTTATTTTTAATTAAATTATATTCAATACTAGTCTTGTTTTAATCGTGTTGATGAGATCTTTCAAATGATATATATATTTTTAATAATATACAATTTATGTTTAAATATTTAACAAAATATACAAATACATTAAAATTAAACAAGGGCATAAAAGAAATTACAAATAAAAATTGGGGGTAAAATGGGGAAAAACAAACACACCAAACTTTGGTGCGGATGAACAGTGCAACGCCAAATATGGCACTGCACTGTTCATGGTGCGACAAAATTTTGGTGTTATGTCGTCTTCATTTGAGCTGCAAAACGCTATATTTTCTTTCAAAATAGAACTTTGTCGTGTTCATTGGAGATGGCCTGACAATGCATGATATGTTCAAATGATTAATGTCTATCGAGAACAAAATAGGCTACTAGCTAGCTGGTTGACAAACTTTTTAATTCCCTCTACCATAGTACCATCCTCATGGAATAATGATTATTGATTATGGACTACATACCTTCTTTCGTTGTTGCAAAAAGACTGCTTCTCCTGATTAGGGAGAGCATCAATCTTAAAATACAATTAACCGTGTCATACATTTCTTGATTAAAATTGGGGTCAAATTAGTAAATAATATGGAGTATCAAATAATGATATTAGTCTGTATTTAACTTGAAGCTGTATTTTGCATAGTACTACCACTTTTGGAATATATAAGTTTATAACTCTATTGCAATGGTATTGCAACTTTTTATTTAGAATCATAAATTTATAATACTAAATTTTAGGTAGAACCTAAATTTGCGCCTATACCTTAACAAAAATTATAAAATGGAATATGACCAAATATTCCTGCCCATTGGTCTTGTTCTATTGATGTGTCATCAATTGCACTGCTCAGATATATATATATATATATATATATATATATATATATATATATATATATATATATATATATATATATAATTTGTTTTATCAACCTTTATTTTATACTGCCTGTTGAAGTCAATACTTCAAAATTCCACCCAATCATGAGCTCTAGGTCGTTGTTTTCAACAGATTAATTAATCAGTTGACAATTAGCACCATTAATTAATAATTAATTAATTAAATTATCCATGAAAAAAGTAAAGGGAAAAAATTATTTGTGTTTATGTACTCATACTCTAGGATTTTCAATATCGGAATTTGTCAGTATAGTAGAAGTTCGAGAATTATCTTTCATGAGAATAAATGTATTTTTTTTTAAAAAAAAAAAAATATAATATTGTACAAGGTTTATTGTTAAACATAAAAAAAATACAAGAAAGTAAAATACTTTGTAAATAATACCATATGTCAATACTAATAATTTACAAGTTTAGACTTTTGTAGATGATAATAACAATATAATATGAGAAAGAGATGACCTGAGGACTCTTTCAAACCACATTCGTGGGAGGGGAAGTGCACCATAGAATATTAGAATATATATAAAGATTTGGCAAATCTTTGTTTTCTCATAATCTAATGCCTAAACATGTCTAGTCAAACCCCTTCTACTTCTTCACCTTAATTTTTTCAATAATAATAATGATGATATATTGCATTACCTCTAGCAGGATGTCAATTGAGGCATAAGTCTTGGGGGGAGGTAGGTAACTAGGTGGACGGAGTCCGACATTCTATTGTCGTAACGTAATAACATGATAAGGGAATAAAAGTGCATTTTAACTTCTGACGTAATGATGAAAGTATTTGATTCAACAATAATTTTCTATTTATTCATCTATCCTTAGACGATTATTAGTTAAGCCATACTAACACTAATAATTTAATTATATATTGTCGGTTAGATTTAATGACTTATTCAAAGAAAGCGGTATACTGACCAATTTTCTCACTTGATGTAATTCTGAAAATTTGAGATGTATGCCAACTCTTCCAATAAGTTGGTTTTATGAGTCATGCTGACCAATCATTAGTTGCAGCCCTCCTCCATGACAAAAGGGACAAATCTTGAGCTTATGTTGCTGCCTATAAATACACTGTAATATACTGTAGTACCATATCCCAGGTTGTCTTAGAAACTGGTCTGAAAACCCAGGCCAGCCTGCTTTTTTCAATTCCTTGTTTGTAGAATGGAGAATTCTGTGTTTTCTTCAAGCAGTGCTCCCTGTTCTAAACCAAACACACCTCATTCTCCTGAGGAGAGCAGTTGGACTATGTATTTTCAAGGCTTCAATGACAATGATGAACACACTTCTTTCTCTTCATCTCCCTATGGAAAAACTGATCATACTCTTGCTTCCCATGCCTCTCCTTTAGCCCCTCAAGAACCTTCTAACTATCATGATAATCGTAAGAAACCATGGCGGAACTTGATTGGGGTTGCAGTTGATGATGAGCTTGAGGACACTGCTAGCTCTCCTGTCAATAGTCCCAAGGTTCGAAAATTCTTGGTCACACAATGAATACTCGTCAACTAACTTACTCCTTGCATGCACTTTTAGCAGTGTAGTGTCACTAATTCTTGGCTTTCTTGTTGTGCCTTTCAGGTTTCTCACATCAATCATGAAGGAAAGGGGAATTTTAGTCTTTCAAAGGTAAAGAAAACCATCTTTGGTACATCCAACGGGGAATGAGGTGATAGATTCAATCCCGAGTTTACTATCTAGAAAGGGATGTAATTTATCACCAAATTACATCCCAACCCTTAAAAAAATCCATTTTAATGATACTTCTTTTACTTCAGGGAAAGGGAGGTGATTCTGGGCAGAATGAAATGGATGTGAGGGGAAGGGATGATGGTGAGCCTACAGACGAATCAGACTTGAAGAAGAAGGGTCTGTGCTTAGTACCTATGTCTATGATCACAAAATATATTGGTTAAACTTTTTATCTTTTTTTTTTGGGTGAATAATTTGGTCTTAAAGAGTACCACTTCACGAGAGAACAAAAGTTTCTCAGTGAAGGATAAGAAAAGACATGTATAGTTGCTTCTCCAAGAGAAGATTTTATTAGTAAAGATAAAGAGAGTAGAGATTCTGTGAGGGTAAAATGCTAAATGCCCTCCACTACAATAATCCTAGATTGTACCAATCTTTCTGTCTTTTGTGAATTGTTGGCTTCTACTTCTTCTCGGGAAGTTTCTCTAACAACTCTGGTATGACCTCAAAAAGGTCTCCTACAAGTCCATAGTCTGCAACCTGTGTTTCACATTTGAGCTCAGAGTTTGAATACTGAAGTTGAGCAGAATAATTCAGTAATTTAGCAGTTCATAGGTGGACAAGGGACAAAACATGAGTATATTGCATTAATGCATCAAGTGGCCTTCTATGACGCAGGGTCAGCATTTCTGGTTTTGGAAATGTTCCATCCAAGAAACTTATTAAACTTCATGTTTCTGGTTTTGGAAACATTCCTCCCAAGAAACTTAAAAAATAAAAAAAAAAATAAAAAAAAAAAACACTTCATAAAACATTTTAGGATCATATTTCTAATTTTCAAAAATTAAAAAATGCATTTCCTAAAAAAAATTAATAAATAATTAATATTTATGCATATTTAAAGAAAAAATATTTGCAAATACACACTTATATTTTTTTTTATATATTTGTATTTTTCTCTTGCATCTCGTATCCAGCATTTCCCTATGTTCCGTTTTCATGCTACCTAGGTGGTCTTTGATTTCTTTGCAAACAAAGCATGGCTCTAACTAATACATGGAATGCGTGGAGAGGGGGGGGGGGGGGGGGTTAAAAGTTGATTCTAGTGACTGAATGTAACACTTAACCAAACTTTGGATGTGTTTTTGTTTTTTGTTTTTTTCTTCTGCTTTTTTTTTTTTTTTTGGGTGCCAAGTGGACATGGGCAGAGGGGTTGAGAGAGAGAGAGACAGGGGAAGAGATGGTGACCTGGAATATGGGTGCATCAGCGTCTTTATTTACAGCAACAATGATTTTGGAATCTCTCATGCCGGCTATGTGTTGAATGGCTCCGGAAACACCAAAAGCCATATATAATTCTGGAGCAACAATCTTTCCAGTCTGCCCCACCTGATACATAAAAACAACCTCAATCAATCTCTCAGCTTTAAAAGCACTAAGTTTCAATTTAATCTCCTGTAAATAACTCCAGTAACACAGTAGGGAAATAGTCATAGTGCAAGAAAATTATATATTTACTCATTAGAAGACTTCAATAGATGTTTTTAATTTTTGAATCATTCAACAAATGTCCTCGACATTGGTCATTCAACAATCAACCATCTGAATTCTGAAGTTTTTTTACCTGGAGATCATTAGGAACATATCCCGCATCAACTGCTGCACGAGTTGCACCAACTACAACAGAAAGAAGGCAAGCATCTTCATTAGATACTGAAATATTTTATACTAGGAAAGGTGGAATTCATAACTAATGTCCTCGACATTGGTCTATAAAGTGGCTATGGTTTAGTGCTTGTTTGGCCCTTAACTTATTTGGAACTTATCTGCTCCAAAAAGCATAAGTTGAGCCAAACACTAAAGAGGGAAAGGCTTTTAAAGCCCAATAAGCAGCAAAACATTCTTTTTCAGGATGCTTCTAAGTTGAGGCTTTTCAGAAAAGCCTTTTTTCAACAACCTCCAGTTTGGGCATAACAAGCACCTAGAAGTTCTTCTGTATTTTGGATTTTTGCAAGAGAAAAGCAAGTGATTAAAAAATGTCAAAGGTAAAAGGGGAGAACACACACTTAGATGTAGATCAACACAGTTCTTTTAAAGAAGAGAGAGAATTGAGAAGACTAAATGTTATTGGAAGGAACCTGCTGCCCCAAGTTTCTCTGCAAGCTTCTCTATCATTTTAAAGTTCTCAGCGCTTTTCAAAGCCCGTCCCCCTGTGACCACAACACGTGCATTTCCCAAATCTGGGCGCTCCGCATTTTGAGAGCAAACTTTTATATATCTTGATTTACCAACTGCACCATCTGTATACAAAAAGCTTATCTTCATTATTTTGCAGTTACTAACAATGAAGTCAAAAGGACCCACACACTGTTTCGTTCTGATTAATTTTGAATACATAATAGTAGAAAGTAGAAATGTTTTCATGATAAAATAAATTAACCTACCTTCATTCAAGATTGAAATATCAACCTGGTCAATGGAGGCTGCATCTGATTTTGAATCAGCTGCTACTGTAACAGGCGGAAAAGATGGAGCTCTAATGGTCAACATACAAGGGATGGAGCCAGTATACCGTACAGTAGAAAGAGCATTTCCAGCATATGTTGGTCTGCCATACAGAAGCAAACCTGATTAAATCATCAAATGCTCTATCCTGATTAACAAGCAGGATTACTTGAGCACCTTGCCTGTGCTTAAGCTTCTAAAACAAAATTCATAATCAGCCCTAGACTGACATCAACCAAACTGCAAACACCCATAATATACAAGCAAACATGTAACAGCCAAACAGGCCAAAAGTTCAGAGATTGTGAGGTGGACAGGTTGCATACCAACTGTCCTAACTGGCTTTGCTAGGACTGCAACCTTACCTCCACTATCACCAAATGACACACTTCCAAGTCTCAGATTTGGTTTCAATGCAACCTTAGCTTGTCTAGGTAGGGAACTTGACAGAATAATGAAGTTCCAATTATATCTGAACTTAGAAACAGTTGTGTAGTATCGGTTGGCTAAAAGGAATCTAGTAGTCAACAATGTCATGAGAGAGTTTTACGTAGACATGAAGTAGGAGGACAACTGTAAAACTTACCTCACAAAGAGATTAGGTCCAGAAATCTCAGTGACATCAGTAATTGGAGAAACATCCAGAAGGGCAGCTGCACGGGGTAGTATGTTTTTCCCAAATGAACTTGATGCAGAAATTATATGTGAGTATCCACCTTTCTGGTGAACCAAATGGACTAGCTTAGCCCATGGTTCTGCTAGAGGATTTGAAAATTTTTCAGAATCAGCAAGAAGAACCTGGCCAAATAAACTTGATGGATCAAAAGTCTACAAAAGTTGGGATAACTCAATTATACTGCTCCATACTTCATTTCTCTACTTCAATTTTCAATCATAAAACTGTGCATCAAAACGTGTTTGAAAAATTCAAAACTGTAGTTTCATATTTAGTGTGATGAACACACATGTTCAGCCATATCATGTGCATACAATTCTTCTACAGTGGATACCTTTCCTATTAGAATAAGATGTGCCTGTTAAAGAATTCTATTGTGTTAGCCTCCAAGTTCTTCCTTGTTTAACAAAATATGAAACAGAGACCTAATCATCTATTTAAGGGTCTCCAACCCAGTATAAGGATAGATTCTATAGCAATAACCTCGGAAACAGAAGGATGGCATGATGCAGCCCGTGAAGCAACCTCCTTGATTGAAGGACCTGATCCAGCAAGAAGTACAGATATAGAATTCTCATCACCCAAAGATTTGGCTGCTTCTATTGCACTCAATGATGAGGTCTTGATAGAACCCCCTTCATGTTCAGCTAAAACCAATGTCCTGAGCTATGCAATCAATACACAATTAATCATAAAAAAAGTGATGCACAAAATGGTGCAAGTTAAAAACTCAGATCATCACACGAAGATAAAATATAACATTTATTTTAATTTGTTAAAGATATGCAACTCATGGATTCAAATTCTACAGTCCAATTAGCAATTACTATAATAACATTTGAACACAGCACTATGAGTATTCAGCATTCCTAATACTATAACAATATTCCACCAAAAGATTTTCTTCTTCTGTAGTAAAGCATGTGAATTCCTAGCAAAAAGGTTAGAATGCGTAGTATCTTAAACAATGAATTCCAAACAACATCACATGATTCAACTACAAATAATTGACCCCATACCAACTTGATTTAGTAGCTGCTAAGTTGCACGATAACTCTTCATATGAAAAAAAAAAAAAAAAAAAAAACACCAGTAAGATCGCAGCTCAAAGTACTCGGCAAAATCAGAGAAAAATAAAGTTCGGCAGTGATGCTAAAATCCCGATTTCACGGATACGAATGATTAAATATGCATATAGATTCTGTTGAATATATACAAATTCGGAATCGTACAAATAAGAAGGTAAGCTTACAGATCGATGATGCGAGATTATGCGTGAAGTAAGAGAACGGTTTCTGAAGGCGGAGAGCATCGTCCAAGTAGCCATGATTTAAGCTTCTGCTATTCGTTGGAAAACCAGCTGAGCTCGAATCCAAATCATTATATCTGAAATAATATATTTAAGTGAAATTAACTCAAAAATAAATTGTTTTCAAAAAAAAAAAAAAAAAATTAAAATATTTATATTTTATTTTATGCTGGCAATTATTAATTTTTAAGTTTTGTTCATGTACAAATCGTTCACAAATCACATTGAGAAATAAATTATTCCGTATTACAGAGCTTATAGCTTATTAGTAGCTTAAAATAAGCTATAAGCTCCTAAATAAACTTTGCCAATAAGAGCGTTTGAGCACATGCAATTATTATTATTATTATTATTATTATTATATAATATATATATATATATATATATATATATAAATATATATATATAATGATATTATTGCCACATATATGAGACATCACATTAGTCGTTACTCATTGTTGAAAATTTTATCTAATGAAGTTAATCACTATTCTATTTTTCTAATCAATTAAAAAATACAAATAGATTATTATGTATGGGTTCTTTATGACAACTCAATCAAGTTACTCAAATAATTCTTTTAGGGTGTATTTGAAAATTTAGAAAATGATTTCTGAATTTATTTTTTTTTTTGGTTTCTAGTGCTTGACAAAGAGGAAAAACATAAAATTAAAGAAAAATCATGTTTTGGTCAATGGAGAATAAATCAAAATTTCATGAAAATGACTTTTTTTAAAAAAAAAAAATTAAGGGAAGTTATTTTTCAAGTTCTATGCCCTCTCTACCTCACCCCTGTTTGTAGACCGCCTCTTCCTCACGCCCCGCTGGAAACCAGTCTGGGCAACTGGTTTCCGAGGCCGATTGGTTTCTGCTCGGAAACCAATCGGCCAATGTGATTTTTTTTTTTCTTATTTGATGTGATTTTGTTGAAAATTATTATTAATAAATGTTGTTATATCTAAACAACATAATTAAAATGTTTAATTATACAATTTTGTTCATTTTTCAAAAAATGAACCAAACACACCAAGACAGTTTTATGGAATGCAACCAAACATGGGAAAAAAAATGTTTTCTGAAAAATGAGTCCAGAAATCATTTTTCTGTTTTCCAAACGGACCCTAATTAGTAAGTATAATATTTGAAGTTTGACTCTCCTATAATTGATATGGGGTTTGATATAATTAATTTTTGGATGTGCGAGCGTGATTGAGTATTCCCGGTTCAACTATTTTGCCTTCAGGTTTCTAGATTAGGTTGACCATACCAAATGTTGAGTTTGTTGCCTCGGATAGGTCTCGGGTAGTTCATAAGGTAAACAAGTCTCCCTTTTAAGCAATAAATGCGCAATATATAGGCGTAGGTCTTTGGACACATGTCGGGACTCCGACATATTCTACACGTGGAAGGCGCAGGTTTGCCAGTCAGATAGGCGATGTCAAGTACTTTGATATAAAGGAAAAAATGGATGAGACGTGATTTGACTATTCTCCAGGCGGAAATCGTGCATAATAGAATGACGGGGGGAATATATATTATCTCCGGTTTTGAGAACCAGCTGCCCAGTCATATGTGACTGGGACGATCCGAAAGTGGTTAGGAAGGTCCCAGTAGTGTTCGATCTCAGTTGATTTATCTTACTTATGCCTGATTGTACATGTATAAACTTTATCATAGTTTTTTTTAACACATCCTTTTCTTATAAATTCAAGGTATATGGAAATAGGAAGAATGAATGAATTATACATTGTAAAACAAATTAAAATGTCCCTTTGATCTAGAAAGATGCACAAACTAATTAATTAATAACTTATTTGTTTACAGTACTCTTGAGCGTCCATGTAGTATGCACGGCTTTTATAATTAAGACCATATTCATGTTCTCCCAAATTTTACTTTCTCGTTTTTTTTTTTTTATATGATCAGACAAATAATGATAAGATATTTTCATCATCTGAATCTAAAAAAAGTGTCAAAATTAGAATACATGTACTATTTTATATTTTCCACTTCACAACATCATGTAAAACTCATGTCAATGTCTTATAACCAATTATCCTTCTAAACATTCACTTGCACTCTTCCACTTCACACTTTCAACCAACTGCCACATAGCATATTGGTTGGTCATTAAACACGGTTGGCTGAACATTCTCTAACAAAGTTGATCAAGTTAGTCAAGTGTTATATAACCTAAGTACCTGGACAAACACCTTGGTTAGACTACTTGGCTCAGGAGATCAACAACACACTTCGGTCGATCATCGAGCCTCCTAACATTGACCCTTTAAGCAACTAGTTACCTTATCAAAATTGAATTGGATTTTTTGTGAGTTAAATGGTAAAATTGTGCACAACTTTAAAACTTATGACAAATTTTAAAAAGGGAAACTAAATATATTTGCCACAACAAAAATGTATGATTTTATTTCACCAAAATAAACATTTATCAATTCTCTCCGCAGATTATTTGTGCGCAACATTTGTCGTTTGGAGTCAATGTTCCCATACTGAAATTTAAACCCGAAACCTCTTATTTGAGAAGACACATCTATGTCGCTCGATCACTATTCAAGTCAGTCAAATTCAAATAGAATAATAAGATATGGAGTATTTAAATTCGTTTACACCTCTAGTTATTGTGGATCTAAGACATAATATTAATTAGGGATGGCAATGTGCCCCGTCCCCGACGGGGATCCCCGATCCCCGCCCCGATGAATACGGGGATGGGAAAAATTTTCGGGGAATGGGGACGGGAACGGGGAATATGTGTGATTCCCCGTCGGGGACGGGGACGGGGACGAGGATACCCCTTCCCGCCCCGCCCCGTCCCCGAATAATTATATGTATATATACTGGCATATAATTATGTAATGAACTATATATATATAATTAACATAATGTCGCCACTAGCAGTAATGCACTGTAATATACATACCATTTATATATGTAATGAACTATATATATAATTAACATAATGTTGCTACTGGCCGTAATGCACTATACAAGTATACAACATATACATGTAGTATACTATACCAGTATTGCACTATACAACATATACATGCAGCATACTATATATATATATATATATATATATATATAGCATTTTAATTTTTGAAATTATTATTTAGTTTTTAAATTTTTTATTATTAAAAATTATAATTATTTAACATTTTAACTCGGAATTGTCAGGGAATGGGAAATCCCCGTCCCCGCCTAATTCCCCGCGGAGACAGGGACGGGGAATATTTTCAAATCCCCGCCGGGGACGGGGATGGAGACGAGGTAGCGGGGACGGAGACGGGGTGTATACTCCCCGCCTCCGCCTCGCCCCGTTGCCATCCCTAATATTAATTAAATAAGAAGTTGTTAAATTCAGTGCAATAACTATTTGTACCCGCGAAACGGGTCCCACAAAATCAGCGCGCTACATACAGTGCACCAACAGACATCTAGTTGCAACTTCTTCTTCTTCGTCACTTACTAATCTTTTTTTATGGGTGTTTATTTCTGTTCGCGTGTTAGAGAGATAGAGATTTCCGGTTCATTCACTTCTCTCCGTAACAATCCGCACTGAGAGAGAGATCGTGGATTCGCATTTGCCTTAACGGAGGCGAAGGAATGCATTCACTAGCATAACCGACATTCTGAATCCCTATTACAGATCCGTTGTTGTTATTTGCTGATTTTCAGAATCTGCTTCTGTTTTTGTTGTTTTTCTCCATCCGGAACGATGGTTTCGACGAGTAAAATCAAATCCGTTGATTTTTACAGGTCAGAATTCAATTGATTCGGTTTTGGTGCTTGTTTCTATTTCCGAGCTCCCTATATGTTAATTGTTTATTTGTTCATTGGTTGATTCCCGGTTTATGATTGTGGAATTAGTGTTCGATATGCTTATATAATTATGAATTGTTAAATATAATTCTTGTTTAGGTTTGCTGATGCATTTGCATTTTCACATTTGTTACTTTCATAGGACCGATAATATAATTTGTTTTACCTAAAATGCTCAAGCATGAGTCGGGGTTAGGTTACAGATGTTTTTCTGTAGATGATAATGACGGGATAGGAGCCTGACAGGTGAAACACTTTTGGTAAAATGATCAATGTTTCTGCAGTATAAATTTAATCCATTTTAGATGGTTGGTACAACAAAAGCAGATATTGGCGTATGCTGATTTAGTAGGGGTTCTGTAGAGGATAAGGGTTCAAATCCAGTGTGCTCTGGACCTCTGGTACATTCAATATTGCTTGGAAATAAGTTGTCTGCACTGGATATTGTCTTGGCTCTTGATATGAGTGTGCTTAATTCCTGAAACAGACTAGTTCAAACCAAGTCAAATAGTTGCGTAATTTAGGGCATTCTCTTTTTGATACAGGAAAATTCCAAGAGATCTGACTGAGGCATCGCTGTCTGGTGCTGGCCTATCCCTTATTGCAGCCTTTTGCATGATCCTTTTATTTGGAATGGTAGGTGATTGATGTTGCATTTTTATTCTCACGGGTAAAGAAGAAGTATATGGAATCATAACTCATGTAAGTTTTCATTTTGCAGGAACTAAGTAATTACTTGTCTGTGAGCACCACGACATCAGTAGTTGTTGATGAAAGTGCTGATGGGGATTTTTTACGAATTGATTTTAACATTAGGTATAATTTTATAGAGCTGCTTTATTTATTGCACATAATTTATTTATTTATTTTTTTTGTTGACTTTAATTCTTTATTCTTTATTCTTTAGCGCTTACACAAGCATTCACTTGTCTCTGTTTTAATATCAAGTTACCACAAATCTTCTCCTTGACAATCATTCGCTGATAATGCATTTATGAGTCATGCGGAACTTCTATGAACAGTTCCTAAATCTTGATCCCAGAACATTCTAAAGCATTTAATATGCGATTTTCTTGTTACTAGATGCTCTCCTATTCTACACATCTTTATTTTCTTACAAAAAATTTAAAGTAGAGTTTGATGTTCTATTACCATGAGACTATGTACATCTATCTGTCAATAACGTTTATAAAATTGCAGTTTTCCCGCGTTGACTTGTGAATTTGCATCTGTGGATGTGAGTGATGTC